AAGTTTTGGATGGTTCTGATGACGCTTAAACCGTGGCTTGCCATATCTATACTATTTTCTTTCTTTATCTCAAATTTAATAGGTAATGCAGTAAGTTTCTCCCTGTCAGCTCGATAATGTTATTGCTTTGTATTGATTCAGCACATTAGTTAATATCATGCAAGGGTCCTTATTTGGTTATTATGATCTGCTTTATAATAATAAATATCAGTTCATATCAATTGATAAATAGGTTATGCTTGGAAAATAAAAAACAAACCATCGAATTTGAACTGTTAAAAACTTTATATCGTGTTGTCTGTATCATTTATTGGATGCTCAATGGAATTCTTCTTGTTTATTTGTTTATTTTCTATCGTCATGCTACTTAAGTATAAAATCATTTATTTCCTACTTTATTGGCTTTCTAAGTTTAGTTTATCAAACATTTCTTTTGGGGGATAATGTATATGCTTATCATGCAAGATAATTTGTAACACGTACTATAATGCAACGCTAAATGCTTGTTAAACAAATAAACCTTCTTAATTTATAAGACAGATCTATGAGCTTTGAGTAAAGTATGTTAACTTTTCAAAGATGAAGCTATCATAAGAAATTTTATAGATGAAAAAGTTAACTGAATATAGTAAAATTGCTTGGAGTCAGCTTGACTGTGCTACATGATTAGAAGAGGTAAGAAGTTCACCAGATAGTGGTTGTAAGATGGAGTAGAAAAAACCATTATGGGAGACTGCATGGTGATTTGAAAGTGAAACGCCAGGTAGCGTTGTGGCATTTAATAGTTCTGCCAATCATTAAGGTTAAGCGATCAATTCCCGTTGATGGTCTAAAATTCTTCTTTGCACTTTTTGAAGGATTAGGTACTGAGTTTTGACCCAAAAACTGCTTCTTGCTCCAGCATCACCTATCCCTGAGGCTTCTTCTGGTCCATATGCCTTTGACGCTCAAGCTCCCTCTCCCACTTTAGAGATTTTTTTTTTGTAATTACACATTTGGTGATTACCAGAAAAAGTTAGTTACCAAAAAAACATGACTAAGGTTTAACTAAAGGATCATCCTTCACAAGTCACTGATAGAACAATGAGTAAGGAAAGGCTACAGGAAGAAGCATTGAAGCTGCCTTATAAAATCTTGGTGTTTCGTACCGACTTGATGAAGAAACTAGTAGCATCATATTATCGTTATGAGAACGCAATTTGGAAAAAAAGACTAATCAATTATGGCAAGTCGGAAGAAATATACTGTTTTCTTTTTATTTTGTACCTAGAAAGTTGTTCAATATGTTTTCTGGAGAATCGGTGTTAGCATTGGTATTTTGATAGTTTTTCCACTGAGGGTCCATCAGTAACAACCTATGTACCTTCACAAGTTAGGGGTAAGGCTGTGTACACACCACCCTCCATATACCCCACTTGTGGGATTGCATTTGGTATGTTGTGTAGTTGTTGTTGAAATCTTGAGAGTTGTTCCAAGCGGCTTACATAGTGGCCTTGCATGATAGTAAGTAAAAGGTGCTCTAATTCATTTGTAGTGTTAACGTGCATTTTTTCAAAATTGTAGGTGCATTTGTTGGAGTAAACATCGGCACTGATGTAACAAATTTACCCCCAGCTTCAGATGTGGTTGCACTCCTTAAAGCTCGTCAGATAACTCATGTGCGCCTATTTAATGCTGATGCTCATATGTTGAATGCTTTAGCCAACACTAGTATCGAAGTTATTATTGGCGTTACAAATGAAGAAGTCTTAGGGATTGGAGAATCACCATCAACTGCAGCTGCTTGGGTAAATAGAAATGTAGCAGCTTACATGCCCGGAACAAATATTACGGCTATTGCTGTGGGAAGTGAAGTTCTCACCGCAATCCCAAATGCTGCACCAGTTTTGGTTCCCGCTTTGAATTACTTACATAAAGCATTAGTAGCTTCACGACTAAATAACCAAGTTAAAGTTTCAACCCCGCAATCAATGGACGTGATTGCTAAGGCATTTCCTCCTTCCACTGCCACTTTCAATTCTTCATGGAACTCAACGATCTTCCAGATCCTTCAGTTTCTAAGAAATACGAACTCGTATTACATGCTGAATGCTTATCCATATTATGAGTATGTTCAGTCTGATGGAATCTTTCCAATTGAATATGCTCTTTTCCAACCACTCTCTGCGGTGAAGCAAATTGTTGATCCGAACACCTTGTTTCATTATGTAAGCATGTTTGATGCTTTAGTTGATGCTACATACAACGCTATAGAAGCACTCAACTTTTCAGACATCCCTGTTGTTGTGACGGAGACTGGTTGGCCATGGGCTGGCGGTTCCAACGAGCCAGATGCTACCAAGGAAAATGCGGAAACTTTTAATAATAACCTGATTCGGCGTGTTTCAAATGATACAGGTCCACCTAGTCAACCCAAAATTCCCATTAACACCTTTATTTACGAGATGTTCAATGAAGACAAAAGACCTGGGCCGATCTCAGAAAGAAGTTGGGGGATCTTTTCTACAAACGGGAGCGATGTTTATTCCCTCGGTCTGGGTTCATCAGACAGTATTTCCAACAATTCTAGTTCAGCTTTTTGTGTAGCGAAACCGGGTGCAGATGAGAACAAACTGCAAGATGGAATTAACTGGGCTTGTGGCCAGGGACGTGCTAATTGCAGTGCAATTCAATCTGGGCAGCCTTGTTATTTCCCAGATACTATACAAAATCATGCTTCGTATGCTTACAACGACTATTATCAAAGAATGCATAGTCTTGGTGGAACATGTGATTTTGATGGTACAGCAACAATGACGACACAAGATCCAAGTAAGTTTTACTATGCAATTTTCTTTTTCATCTTTATATGGAATTCCGGGAGATGACTTGATTGGTGTCTGGATCATTTTGGCTGATAATAGTGATTCGGTAAATTAACAGTTAACGACTTGCTTATATCCCTCTTTTATTCTCACTCCCATATCAGTAGAATCTATTTTGCCTATCTGGCTGAAGGCAAATGTGCTCTTAGAGATCTTATTTTCCCTTGCTGAATAAAATAAATATCAACTCCCGTCGTGTTTGACATGATGTAATATCACATATTCTAATTCATATTACTTGATGAAGCTAGAGTACGAGTGTGTTTCTATTGCATAAGTCGAGTTTTATTGCTCCTTACCGACGTTTAGGGTTGAGTTGATAGAAATGTTGTTTTAGTTTTTCAATACGATGGTGTCTTTACTCTACGCTATATTAGATGAACGACATTAATTTCTTCAAATGTTTGTGTATGATATATGGGACTGAAACATTGCTTATTTGCAAGAAAGCCTTGTTATGTCCACTTAATTTCATACAGTTTAAGCAATGGTTCTCCGTTCACGGAGTTGTGACGCTTTAATTCACATGCAAAGTATGCGTTTCTACATTATGGCGAAATGCTTCTAGCAGTATATTTCTTAGTAACATTTCAACATGCTGAACCTTGCATTTTTTTCTATACAAAGCTCTTTTGCTCTTCCGTCCTCTTTTGCTTTTCAAAATCGTCAATAACAATCTAGGAAGTATTCATTAAAATTGCTACCTTTTTCATCCTTTGTGTATTTTATCAGAACCATTTTTTCGTTTTCTTTCCCGAAACCTGATTCATTTGATGATTTTCTTGGTGCAGGTTCCAGAACATGTAAATTTACCGGAAGGTGAGATATCTAAACCAAGTACAATACATAAATTATCTTTACGAGTACAGTCAAAGCCTCTCTATAACAATCATCCTTCGTGACAAACCCCGTTTTTCATTATGATTGATTCTTCATGTTAATATATATGTTCTCTATTACAACATTACGTCGTTGACGCTGTCATAGAGAAGCTTGACCATACTAACATGTTGCATTTGCACAAACATTGCCTCTATATGCACTGAATTTGCTTCTTTTTCACCCCTACAGTTCGAATTCAGGTGGAGTGTTTCCTCCGGCAGCATTTGGACCTATCGTTGCACCGACTTCTCAGAGTTCAACGATTCGATCGCCGGTTATTGCTTACACAATTGTTGTATTTTTGGCTTTGTTGATTCTTGATGTGAATGCACATTTTGTTTTTTAGCATCTTTAGGAAGATTGAGATCTTTGCATTTTTGGATTCCCTTTGTGTATTTTTGCAGGAAAAATTGAACCAACTCTATTAGTTTGTTAGTTTAGATGATTGATATTTGTCTTTTTAACACTCAACTAGATGATGATTTAAATCCATTTTTTTGCATATTTTTTCCTTGATGAAATGTCTCTTTAGTCCTTACATGACCCCACTCCTACCCTAGCTTTAACCGTAAATAACGATGGTGTTCTGGTCAGCTTGATACACTCTTACTCGGAGTAATTAGTTTGTACAAATGCGAAGAAATCACCTTTTTCTATTAAAACTAAAAGACATTCGAGAGAAATTTAGTAAAATCACTTTTTATATAAAATGCTTGAGACATACAAGAACTAAGGGAAAAGGTACTAGTATTCTTTAATTATAATCGAAATTTCAGAGACGCACTTTAATTAAATTAAAGTTTTATTACTCCTGAATCTATTTTTTTGTAATTTTGTGCAATTTTTTGACTTACGTGGTATTCAAATATTTCTCATACGCCTCGATTGCATGGAGTCACAGAGTGTGCCACGTAAAATAAAGGTATACAAAATTATATTAAAAAAAAAGTTTAAAGATAATAGATTTTTAGTTTAGTTAAAATACGTCTCTAAGATTTTGATCATAGTATAATATAAGAGATACTTGTGCTTTATTCCTCACTTTTTGACGTTGAATTCATATGAATCCAATAATCTTTACATTTGTATCATTTAAATTTTGAATTTGCCTCGCTTCGACTAAATGACTCCTAAGGTTAAATAATTTAATTTTAATTTTTATTTTTTTAAGATTTGGAATCAAACTCCAAAACGACATCGTATTAGAACAAAGTAGTATCAGCAAAAGGCTTCCACTTGGATAAAGCTGACAGATTATCTTCTAGCAGGAAAGAATAAAAATGTACAGCGGAGCTCCCTCCGGCGGAATAGCAATCGGCGGCGGCGGCGGCGGCGTAGGAAGAGGAGGAGGAAGAACATGGTCGTCGACGACGTCGGTATCAACATCAGGGAAGAGAATACAGAAGGAAATGACAGAATTAAGCATGGAAGCACCACCAGATTGTGCAGCTGGACCTAAAGGAGATAATCTTTACCATTGGGTTGCTACTCTCTTTGGACCACCTGGTAATTTCTGTTTGAATAGTGATAAAAATTTGATCTTTCTATTTTTTTCGCGAGTTTCATATTTCAACTATCACTTGTTCTTTTTTCGCATTTGAAGCTAGTACTGTGTCTATGTGTTAAAGCATCTTTTAACTATCGGTTGTTCCCTTTTCGTATCGGTACTATCATTAATGTTCATGTAGATAAAAAGAAAATGTTTGATAGTTGAGGTGTGTTTAGTTCAGGTAGAAGTAGGGAACAAATGGTTGTTGAGGTGTTATGTATGAAGTAATAGTTAGGATAAGATTTTTCAGTTTTAAAACAACATATACAGTGTAATCCAACATGATCTCGGAATTTCGAATCATCAAAAAAGATGGTTTGATCTTGAAAATGAGTTGTTTTGGCCGTGGTTTCCAATCGACTCTGTAGATAAGGTCTGTGGGTTCTGGAAAGGATAGAGTGTGCACAAACCTTACCCCATTTCTTGTGGATCTAAGTTATATACACAAAAGAAATTTTACACTTGCAATGCAATTTAACTGAGTATAACAATTTATTTCTTTATTTTTCATGTTACCATATTGATCTTCCTAGAAGAGTTGCGTCCTGCAATATGTTTAAACGAATTTGAGGGTGTAAAAGTTTTCTCAATGTACAAAACTTGAGCTTTTTAAGTGCTTGATTAAAATGAATTGTCGTACTTCAAATTTAGTTGTATTTCTGCTTGATTTTCCGATATTTAGATGGAGAAATTTATTGCTTTCAATTTACTATAGAGTTCCTGTTACTTCTCTAACTGAAATCTTCATGTTTCTCGCAGGAACACCTTATGAGGGTGGAATATTTTTTCTTGATATAACCTTTCCTTCTGATTATCCATTTAAACCTCCAAAGGTATGATGAAGGTTACACAGTGAATCTCCTATACATCTAGCGTTGTATTTTTCCTGATCCAGGTGTCTACTTTTGTATTTTTATCTGAACAACAAACTTCCAATATTCTCCGTTAGCTATACCATTTGTTCTGATATAAACTTTAAAACTAGGATGAAGCGCAAAGATCCTTGTTCACCGTCTTCTGATAAAATATTTGCGGAGCTCTTTTCCGCTGAATAGAACTTAGATAAGAAATGGTGATTGCTATGGACTAATTGCTTCCCTTACTTATGAAAACCATCACTTTTGTGCTATTTTGATTTTTTAGGTCATGCATAAATGCATGGTCATTGTGGGAACTTGTTACTCTTGAGGTTTATGAGTTCTAGATTATAGCCTTTTGAGTTACTGGATTCTAAATTTATAATTTGTGCACATTAAATGTGTTTTCGAAGGCAACAACAGTTTTGGATCAAAGTGACTGGGTTCTGCAGAACTCTTACATCCTACTCTTAAGTTCGTTTTCCATTATTAATGGGAAAAATCAAGCATGTCATTCCCGAAGCTCTTATTTCTTACACCTTTTGTTGATTAAAAAATAGAAGAAGAGTACTTTGCTCCTTCCTGAACTTTGTTTTGGTGTACAGTAAATAAGTAAACAACTTCGTAAGATCTGGTATCTGTGTTGTTACTTTCATCTTTATGTAGTGACATGCTTCCTAATAACTGTCGTTCTATTAAATTAAGAAAATAAAAGCATGGCTTCCTTTTGGTTGAAATGTTTTCACCACCAAATTCAGCTGATAAACACGAATCATTTTCTCAGATTTGGTTATAGTTTTTGTTTGTCAGCTGACTTTGGTGGAAATCAATTTTTTCTTCCCTTTTCTTTTTGTTCTGATCTCAGGCTTTTGCAGGTTGTATTCAAAACTCGCATATATCATTGTAATGTAGATCCTTCCGGCAATGTTAGCTTGGACATCCTAACAGAGAACTGGAGTCCAGCGTTAACAATCTCAAAGGTGCTACTTGCTCTGAGATCAATGTTCACCAATCCTGAAACTTGTAAGCACATCTTGTATCTTCTGTCCTGTGTCCTCTCTCAAAAGAAGTGAAACAGATGAAAAATATTTATTTTATAAAGAGCAGAAAACAACGACAACAACAATACCCGGTGTAGTCCACAAGTGGGATCTGAGGAGGGTAGTGTGTATGCAGCCCTATCCCTATCTTGTGAAGGTTTCGAGGCTGTTCTCAAAGGGCCCTCAGCCCAAGTAAAACAAGAATATGAAAAGGAAATACAATAGCGAAAAAGAAAATTCTGAAAATAATGGAGTAAAGGACAGTAGAAAAATGAGAGGAAAACATATAAACATAAAAAGAGTCTTCATATATTGGTTGTTGAAGGTGTTGATCGATTTATGCCGTCTCCGGTTTGCATGGATTAAGAGTAAAATGAATAGTTGAAATAATAACTGTAGAACAGAGTGTACAAAAACTACCTTTTTTCTGTATCTTACAGTTCCGCTTCTTGCAGATAAGCCGGTTGTTCCTGGTATTGCACACTTATACTTGGGAGATAAAGCCAAACATGATGAAGTAGCTGCACAATGGACACTGAGATTTGCAAGGTGAAAGAAGAACATGATGTGGAACTTTTTTAACAAGTTCAGGTCAGCCATTGCTTAGTTTGAAGTTTAACAAGCATAGAAGAGCTGTTGTACACGATATTCAAAACTTACAAACCTGTATATAATTCATATAAATAAATTCAACTTCTGTTAAACTAACTTTCTGAATTTCACATTTAGACCTGTTGCTTTGTATGTTTGTTGAATAGTTCTTTCCTTCATATCACAAGCCCTTGAGGCTGAACCAATAAAGCAGAATGAAACTGGCGGACAGGTTTTACCCTAAAATTTCGATTAATCTTGCATCATGTGAAGTTTTTTTTTTTTTTGATCTTTTATTGAAAGCAAGTAGAACCTGCTATGGGATCTTTTTTTTGGATCTTTTAGAACATGACACTATACCCGTTAGTTGTAGTTGCATCACATTTCCTCCCAAAGCTTGCTAAGGGATTCCACCACAACATTGTCATATCGGTAGAAATGGTGAACTTCAGTAGGCCCATTGCTCCCAGGTTGAACCTGCAGTCAAGTCTATACATTGTATGGTGTGTATTGACTGTTTTTTTCTTGAACTCCATGTTTAACATCTAATGTTATGGTGTAGATAGAGGAAGAAAGAGAATTTCCCACACTCTTTTTCTGGTTATATTATTTTAAGAAAAAGTCAACCTTATAATACTTAGTAGGATGCCATTACTTGGGGATATCCTGCATTATTAGTGGGTAACCATGAAGGCTCTTAGTACTGACCTAGCCTTTGTTTGAACTTTGTTATCATCTTAGTGGTTAACCATGTAGAAAATACATAAATATTGAGGAGGATGGGATGTCAAAATTGCACTATAAAAACCAGAGATCTTTACTCAACTATGCAAAACAAGTCTTAGTTCTATCCTTTCTTTTCTCTCCAAGAATCACAATGAGAAGCTTTAGGAATTTGGGGCAATTGCCTCTATTAGCATTTGCTTTGGCAATTTGCTTTGTAGCTAGCACTGTTGTTGCTGATTACTCTTATGGCTATAGTTCTCCTTCACCTACTTACGCCTCTAAGAAGTACTACAAATCACCATCTCCATCTCCATACTACAAGAAACCGGAGAAACATGCTGAATATTCTCCGTCACACTATTACAAGTCACCGGTGCCTTCCAAGCACGACTATTACAAGTCCCCTACTCCTTCAAAGCATTATTACAAATCACCAGTTGTAGTGAAGTATTACAAATCACCAGTTCCTTCAAAGAAGTACTACAAAGCGCCTTCTCATCCAAAGAAGTACTACTACAAGGCACCTTCCCATTCAAACAAGTACTACAAGGCCCCTGCTCCTTCAAAGAAGTACTACAAGTCACCTGCCCCTTCAAAGAACTATTACAAGTCACCATCCCCTGTGAAGTACTACAAATCTCCTTCACCTGCAAAATACTACAAGTCACCTGCTCCATCAAAGCACTATTACTACAAGTCACCATCCCCTACAAAGTACTACAAGTCTCCATCGCCTGCAAAATACTACAAGTCGCCTGCTCCAAAGCACTATTACTACAAATCTCCATCGCCTGCAAAATACTACAAGTCACCTGCTCCGTCAAAGAACTATTACTACAAATCTCCATCGCCTGTAAAATACTACAAGTGGCCTTCACCATCAAATCACTATTACTACAAGTCACCATCTCCAACAAAATATTACAAATCACCCGCTCCTTCTAAATACTATAAATCTACCCCTTACTACAAGTCCCCTCCACCTCCCCCATACTACAAAAAATCTACCCCTTACTACAAGTCCCCTCCACCTCACCCATACTACAAAAAATCTACCCCTTACTACAAGTCCCCTCCACCTCCCCCATACTACAAAGAATCTACCCCTTACTACAAGTCCCCTCCTCCTCCCCCATACTACAAAGAATCTACGCCTTCTTACAAGTCCCCTCCTCTGTCCCCGTACTACAAAGAATCTACACCTTCCTATAAATCCCCTCCACCTCCCCCATACTACAAAGAATCTACTCCTTACTACAAGTCCCCTCCACCTCCCCCGTACTACAAAGAATCTACACCTTCTTACAAGTCCCCTCCACCTCCCACATACTACAAAGAATCTACGCCTTCCTACAAGTCCCCTCCACCTCCCCCATACTACAAAGAATCTACGCCTTCCTACAAGTCCCCTCCACCTCCCCCATACTACAAAGAATCTACCCCTTACTACAAGTCCCCTCCACCTCCCCCATACTACAAAGAATCTACACCTTCTTACAAGTCCCCTCCTCCTCCACCATACTACAAAGAATCTACCCCTTCCTATAAATCACCTCCACCTCCCCCATACTACAAAGAGTCTACCCCTTCATATAAATCCCCTCCCCCTCCCCCATACTACAAAGAATCTACCCCTTCCTATAAATCCCCTCCCCCTCCACCATACTACAAAGAATCTACACCTTCCTATAAATCTCCTCCACCCCCACCAACATATTATTAAAATAGTTACTAATTCTATCATTTCCACCATTTCCGTGAATTCTAAATCCTACTTTGAGTATCTCTATTTCCTCAGCCAAAATTTTATGTATTCTTCAAGAAGGTTTTGCTTGTTTTGTGTGTTCCTTTCTTGCAATAATTTATAATATGCATTGTTTGAGATCTTCAAGATCTCCTTCAGTTGGTTCATTGTATCAAGATTCTTTTTGATGTAATCTCTTGAGAGTTCCACTTTGTGTAATACTATCTTCTTCTTTATCAAATATTGTTTGCTCTTATTGGTTGAGTTCTTGACTTCTTTCGTTGTTCCATAAGTATTCACCTTCTGGACATCTATGCTGAACTCTTATATGAAGAGAAACCACTTTCGAGTATTGTCTCTGGTAACTGCACTCATTAACTTTTTAGAAAGTAAAATTATATAAAATAAACAGAATAAGAAAGAAATAAGAGGCATTTGAACTTAAGCAAATGCATCATTTCAACAATTTCTTTTCTAACATAGAGAAGGCGAAAAGGCGATATAGTCAAGGGTTATCTACATTTTCTCTTCAAAGATGCAACCAAGTTTCAGATTTGTTAGAAAATTATTCTTAGTATTATAGGTTAAACTAAAATAATATGTGCATCCAACATTATGGCTTCCATTAAGTTACTAATAAGTTAGAAAACAATTCATACAGAAATGGGATCACCAATAGCCAGAGACAAAAGATTCATATGAGAACGTAATTTAACAGGCCTCTACTTGAACCTCCAAGGATAAAGGTACATGAACAACAACCATTTGATCTCCATCAGAATCGGTATTGAATCCCTTGCAAACTAATGGATGTAAACAAATAGCGTCCCTCCACTAAAACTGGCTGGAATGCCTGCATGCCTAATCTATGCAGATTGGATGCTCTATTCAGCAATATAGGATGTCCTGTGTAGCTTCTTGATCAGTAAAAAAGAGTAATCTTCTTATGTAGTTATTTATAAGTTGTTATCCCCTTGCATCTAACTATTAGATAAATAAGTTTCATACCCCAAGAACACGAAAAGAAACATACTGATATCAATCCGACTTAAGTAGAAAAACGTATTTGACGAGGAAAATGTAAAGTCTGAATAATGAAGAGCTGGGAAAAATTAAGACATCAAGATTTTTCCTATAGAAGTTCTGGATACCTCACTGTAGTTGGCGTTGTTAATGGAGAATATGTGACATTTGACTCTAATTTTCTTCGTTGCAATTTTTCAACTTTTGTTCTGTGATCTGTCATCTGTAAAGGGGGATTAAAGAGCGAAGGTTTATATAAGGACTTTTTGGGGTTCATAAGACTAGTTACATACTATGCACATGAACTATTGGGATAAGCTTGTGCGTTGAACATTGGGATCATGTCAGGTGTACTTCTGGACACTTGAGGTGTAAGTATCGCGAGACAACTATCTCTACATCTGTCCCGAAGTATCTCATCTGTATATTAGTCCCTGACGAGTCTCAAGTTTACCTTCCATACATTATCCTCAGACCAAAATGTTATCTAAGATGTAATCTGGTATGATTATCCACTGTTCAATAGTAAAGTCAACTTGTAGATTATTGTTCTGGAAAAAGATGAGAGAACTTCCCATTCCCCTTTTTAAATTGCCATTCTTTTACTTTGCCAATGGGATGACAGTTGTGGCATCTCATTTTTCATTTTTGTTCCTAAATTATTTCTTCATCATGATTTTTTTTAAAAGAAAGAAGTCATGGATAAATGCTTCTCACTAAGTACTGACTTGGTCTTTATTTTGACTTGGGTATCATATTAGTGGCTAACCATGAAGCCATTACATGACTGTTAAGAAGACTATCAATTTGTAGTATAAATCTAGAGTTTCCTACTCAACTATGCAACACAAGTCTTTAGTTCTATCCTCCTCTTCTCCAAGTTAAGTTGGTTGCAAAAGCAAATGAGAAGCTTTGGAAATTTGGGGCAATGGCCTCTACTTGCATTTGCTTTGGCAATTTGCTTTGTAGCCAGCACTGTTGTTGCTGACTACTCTTATGACTATACTTCTCATTCACCTTCTTACAACTCTAAGAAAGACCACGAATCACCTTCACCATACTACAAGAAACCGGAAAAACATGTTCCATCACATTACTATTACAAGTCACATGCTCCTTCAAAACACTACTATAAGGCACCTATTGTTGCAAAGTATTACAAGTCACATGCTCCTTCAAAGCACTACTACAAGGCACCTATTGTTACGAAGTATTACAGGTCGCATGCTCCTTCAAAGCACTACTACAAGGCACCCGTTGTGGCAAAGTATTACAAGTCACCTGCTCCTTCGAAACAATACTACAAGGCACCGGTGGTAGTGAAGTATTACAAGTCACCAGCTCCTTCAAAGAATTACTACAAGGCACCAACTCCTTCAAAGTACTACTACAAATCGCCAGCTCCTTCAAAGTACTACTACAAGTCGCCATCACCTGCAAAGTACTACAAGTCGCCTGCTCCATCAAAGCACTATTACTACAAGTCCCCGTCCCCTTCAAAATATTACAAATCACCCGCTCCTTATAAATACTATAAATCACCAGCACCACAAAAATATTACAAGTCGCCTGTTTACTACAAGTCTCCTCCACCACCAACAACTTATTACGAGAAATCACCTTCTTACTACAAATCCCCTCCCCCTCCACCATACTACAAAGAATCCACCCCTTACTACAAATCCCCTCCACCTCCCCCATACTACAAAGAATCTACACCTTCCTATAAATCACCTCCCCCTCCACCAAAGTACTATGAGCAATCGCCTACAAAATACAACTCACCACCTCCACCATCACCAATCTATTATTAGCAAACTCCCACCTATTCCTCGCCAACGTACCACTAAACATTCAATAACTCTACTGTTCCCATGATTTTTACGGTCTATTTTGATTCCATTTCCCTTCCAAAATTTTAATGTATGTTAGTCGAAATGATTGACTTTATTTATCGTGTGTTCCATATTATTTTGTTCAAATAATTTATATGATGTATTACTTGAGAATTAATTAAGTATTCCTCATTGTATCAAGATTAATAGTTTGTTATTTATCTTCTCTTCTTTGTGTAATAATTTTGTATTCAAATTATTAAATGAATGAGGTGGTATTGTCCCTAGATAATTTCTTCCCTGCAATAGTTTGTAACCTATCTAATTTTTTGAAAAATGGTAAAATCTACTAAAATTATAAATAAATTTTAAAATAAAGCAATACTGTGAAAAAGTTAGCATAATTTTCAGAAATGCTAATATATGACTATGAAATATACAATCAAACTTTATATAATATCATGATATACAACTCAACTACAAGGCCTAACAATCCAAAGATTAGTAGAAAACAATATATCATATGTTCCTCTTAAGAAATAATTATATTAAGACACATTTTCTTAACACTATACTTTGAATCTCTCTCTACAATTAAACGAGTTGTGTTTCGACCAATTTATGTGTATCAACCAAGTTTTAGATATAAAAAAGATGTTATTTAGACTTCATAGGAAAGTTACAATTGCATAATACAACTCCAACTTTGTTTGGTAAATAGTTATTTGCATTGGGTATTTACATATAATTTATCATAGTTAGATAATTTAATAGAGTGAATTTATTAATTAATTAACTGACCATACACATTATATTATACATTTACTAATTTGATATAAACACTCTATCTGCAAATTTTTAAAAAAAAGACTTGGAAGAAGATAATATGGACTTGTACATTCTGTCTAATTAGCCTACTTGCAAATTATTTTTTCAACCACCAAAAAAAGATGTCACCACTAATTAATTACACTAAACTAATATTTATTTGGACTTTGCTATGGTTTTAATTAGTGGCTAACCATGAAGCCATTACATTAATTTCAAGAAAGATGTTACTATAAAAAACAATGATCTTAACTCATTTATGCAACAAAAGTCTTAATTATTTATATCTTTTCTTTTCTCCAATAATCAAAATGAGATAACTTACATAATTTTATAATTAACTGAACTTTGCAGCCTAATTAAATTAGCTAACTAATAATTAGGCTGAATATCTTACTACATACACAAACTATAGATAAATTTAAAACTCATGCTTTTGCATTCCAGCAACTCACTAGACTTGAATCCTGAAATTTCAAAAATAAAGAATTAAAGTTAAGAGCTTTAAAGATGGAAGAGGTCGAAAATACATCGATATATATATATATATATATATAGAGAGAGAGAGAGAGATTTATCTTCTTAAGGATAAATATGAATTTGAATACCTGGAGGTAGCTACACACTAATATCTTTTCTTGTGCCTTTTCATTCTCGTACTAATTTTGTGTTCCAAATTTAAACCCATCCTCGAAAACCATGTTGGATATTGAGTTGACCACATTATGTATATTATGGACAATCCAATAACTAGTCCAAAACCATAACCCACGAGCACCCCCTGCCAACTGATCATTGGTGAATCTTCTTCTTCTTCTTCTTGATCTAGCTCAGCTGGAGTTGTCGCTTGATCATCACGGCCACAATCTCTTGAGAGTGGCAATCCACGTAATCCATCATTTCCTAGGTATGAATTGTTCTCAAACGTAGCAAATTGTTTTCCTTTGGGGATGCATCCAACAAGATGATTGTTAGAGAGATTCAAGACTTCAAGAAATGTGAGGGATACAAGTTGTTGTGGGATTTCACCGCCAATTTTGTTACATGAGAGATCCAATGATTCAAGTACAGATAATTTGTGCAGTGATGCTGGTATATGACCTTCCAAGACATTATGTGATAAGTTCAACACACGTAGTCCAATGAGATCTCCAATAATGCTTGGAATATGACCTTTGAATCTATTCATTGAGAGATCGATAATTATTTGTGTAGTCGAAACTCGAGGAAGTTCATTATCCAGTCCCTTTGTTGTCACTATGAAAGAACTTTTGTAATAATCAAAATATGTATCTGCTACATACTTTCGGGTTCCATTGTTCTCATCATTTATTTTCATGGCTTCAAAATTCTCAAAGAAGCTCATTGGTAAATTTCCACTAAATCTATTGGATGAGAGATTTATGACTCGAATTTTAGCAAACAAATTGTTAGTCCTTATAGGTCCATAGAACTTATTTGATCTAAAGTTTAAAACCTGCAAATTAGGTAGGTCACCTAACCATTTTGGAAACGTGTCATTCAACTCATTGTTACTTAAATCTAGAAGTTCCAATTTTTCACAGTTGATCAAAGATGGTGGAACTTTCCCCTGTAGCTTATTCCAGTCCAATTTAATGATGTAGAGTGGGTTTCCAATACTAAAAGTTGTATTCATTGTCCCACTAAGACTATTGTTGCTTAAATCCAAAACTTGAAGTTCACTCATCTCACCCAAACATTGTGGGATTGTTCCCTCCAAATTATTGCTTCTCAAATTTAGTAGTAGTAATGTTTTCAGATTGCATATATCTGAAGAAATATGTCCACTGATGCTATTGTGTGAAAGGAGAAGAGCTTGTAGGAACTGCTGGTTTAGGAGTGACCTTGGAATTGGACCTTCCAGCTTATTTTGTTCTAGACTAATGATATCTAATGTTTTGGACTTGAACTCCTGAATTTTTCCACTCAAAGTGTTATCACTCAACTTTAACTCTGTCAGTGAAGGAAGGGAGAATATCCAGGAAGGTATAGTCCCATTCAAGTGGTTTGATGACAACAAGAGAAATTGTAGATTTCGTAGTCCACTTACGTTGGATGGAATTGGACCAGTTAGGGAATTGGATGAGAAGTCTAGCAATTCAAGTTGGGTCCAACTTTTGTTAGAGGATAAGAACGCAAGTCCGCCATCCAAGTTGTTATTTCTAAGTATAAGCACCTTGAGCTTTTCAAATATCGAGAACTGGGAAATTGGTCCTTCAAGATGGTTATAATCAAGGAACAAACTCTCTATGTGGGTGAGATTCCATAGAGGGTTAGGAATGGGCCCTGACAGATTAGTATAACGCATGTCCAGCTCATGAAGTGCAGTTAGATAGCTAAATGATTCATTTATCCTACCAGTAAAATCCACACCATTGAGATATAACTTGATGAGTGATGCACTGCTATTCCATTTGGTTGTGGGAAACCTAACTGTGAGCTGGGGATTGTCTGATAAATTGAGAAATTCTAAGTCGGAAAGGTGGAAAACTCTTTCGGGCAATATCCCACGTAACTTTGTGTGTGGAAGCTGTAGATTCGTTAAATGAGAAGAGAAATTTGAAGGAACTGTGGAAGAGATTTTCACAGAGTCAAGGTTGAGCTCTCTTAATTGGGTCAAGTTCTTAAGGAGCAGTTCAAAATTGTGAGGTACAAGACTAAGCCCATATTGATAACCGATACGAAGAATGTGTAGTTTAGAAAGGTGACAAATTTCGGAAGGGATTATACCTGTAAAATCTGAACCAAACAAATCAAGATGCGTTAAACTTAAAAACTCACCAAGTTTAGGTGAAATGAGTGATCCGGTGAAATTATTATAAGACAGATCAAGCCTTTTAAGATTGGAGAGTTGAAAGAGGCTACTATTGGAATGAAACTTGCCTTGAAGTTGGCTGCAACGGAGATCAAGCTCAATCACTTGCCCTGTCGTCTCGTCACAATGAACTCCATTCCATGAGCAACAATCTATGCTGTTGTTCCATGAACGAGTCTTTGGATGAGAAAACACACAATCATAAGAAGCATCAGGATTAATGGTAAACATGTTCTTGAATTGTAGAAGAGAAAGAGATTCATCTTCAGGGCACAAATGATGTAAGGTTGACGAGAAAGCAAGTTGACAGAGAAAGGTATAGAGCATAAAAAATACAAGTTTTACACAATCCATTTCTGCACTAAAAATGATCGAAACTAATCAAGTTGGTAAAGACGAAATCAAGAAATGTTTGCTTTGTGTGTCTATTCAACAATTTTGATGACATATATATAGCCCATTCATTGTGTCACACAAGTGAATGCCAGAAACTATCAAATAGTTCACACTCTTAAGTCCCCACCACTTACATATATAACACATTATACATGCATTTTGTGTGCTACCTTATTTGTTTTGCCAACTTAATTGGATTGCAGGAATAGGACCACCACACAACTCAAGAGTTTTATTTTACTTGGTGTACAGACTACTGGTTACGTAGTCATTTTCAGTCAATTTAAACTTGTGAATCACATATTCCCATTCAATGTGTCACACAAGTGAATGCCGAAAACTATAGGACCACCACACAACTCAATTAGTTGGTTTACACACTTTGAAAGAAACATAACAACTTTATATCTTAAATATAGGACAGTCTTTTTGCCAATGCATTAAGTGTAGACTAAATATCTACTATGAATACAGCGCCTTACATAGTGCGCCAGCTCGAGCCCATTTTCCATGAGAATTGACCTACTGATGGAAGACACTCCAGACACGACATGTTCTTCACAGATTCTTGAGTCCAACGAGATGATTATGAGAGAGATTTAAGACTTCAAAGTGACGTGAAATATGCAAGTTGTTTCTGCATCCCTCTACCAATTTTGCTAAAATGAGAAATCCAATGATTCAAGTACAAATAACTGGCCTGTGCAGTCATGCTGGTATACAACCTTCCAAGAGATTAATTATGAGATAAGTTCAACGTATCGAGTGCAACGAGATCTCCAATAATATTGTTTGGAACATGACTTCAAATCTGTTCCTTGAAACATTGATGATTATATTTTAGTTGTAGTCAAAACTCAGAACAAATTCAAGAATCATAAAATACTCGTGCTCTCATCAATTATCATTTATCTTCATGGCGGGTAAATTCCCACTAAATCAATATAGATACATTAAGTAAGAATCCGTGGGATTACACAGGGTATGTTGTGGTAATCTAATTTCTGTATATCGTTTTTTTTTTGTTGTTGTTGTTATAATATTCAAGGAAACATATATATTATTTCTAAATTAGCCCACTTGCAAATTATTTTTTCAATCATAAATATTTATGCTTGCCACTAATTACACTAAACTAATATTTATTTAGACTTTGCTATATCATCTTAGTGGCTAACCATGAAAGCATTACATTAATTAATCTCAAGAAGTATGTTACTTTGCTACTATAAAAACTAAACATCCCAACAAACCTATGCAACACAAGTCTTAGTTTTCATCTTTTTTCTCCAAAAATCAAAATGAGAAGCTTTGGAAATTTGGGGCAATGGTCTCTAATTGCATTTGCTTTGGTAATTTGCTTTGTAGCTAGCACTGTTGTTGCTGATTACTCTTATGACTATACTTCTCATTCACCCTCTCCATACTACAAGAAACCGGAAAAACACGTTGAACATTCTCCATCGCATTATTATTACAAGTCACATGCTCCTTCAAAACACTACTACAAGACACCTGTTGTTACGAAGTATTACAAATCACATGCTCCTTCAAAACACTACTACAAGACACCTATTGTTGCGAAGTATTACAAGTCGCATGCTCCGTCAAAGAACTACTACAAGACACCTGTTGTTACGAAGTATTACAAGTCACATGCTCCTTCAAAGCACTACTACAGGGCACCTGTTGTAGTGAAGTATTACAAATCACCTGCTCCTTCGAAACAATACTACAAGGCACCGGTGGTAGTGAAGTATTATAAGTCACCTGCCTCTTCAAAGAAGTACTATAAGGCGCCAACTCCCTCAAAGTACTACTACAAGTCACCATCACCTGCAAAGTACTACAAGTCGCCTGCTCCATCAAAGCACTATTACTACAAGTCCCCATCCCCTTCAGAATATTACAAATCACCCGCTCCTTCTAAATACTATAAATCACCAGCACCACAAAAATATTACAAGTCCCCAGTTTACTACAAGTCTCCTCCACCATCACCAACTTATTACGAGAAATCACCTTCTTACTACAAATCCCCTCCCCCTCCCCTATACTACAAAGAATCTACCCCTTCCTATAAATCCCCACCCCCACCCTTGTACTACAAAGAATCTACCCCTTCCTATAAATCCCCTCCCCCTCCACCATACTACGAAGAATCTGCCCCTTCCTATAAATCTCCTCCACCTCCACCAAAGTACTACGAAAAATTACCTACAACCCATGACTCTCCACCTCCACCAACCTATTCCTCACCACCACCACCTCAGGAGTACGAGCAATCCGTCATCTATGCTTCACCTCCACCACCACCAGCATCTCCCCCACCAACATACTACTAAACGCTCAATAACTCTATCACTTCCATGACTTTTACATCCTATTTTAATTCCATTTTTCTTCCAAAATTTAATGTATGCTTGTCAAAATGATGGGCTTTGCTTATTGTGTATTTGATATTGTTTTGTTCTAATGATTTATATCATGTATTAAGTAAGTTTTCCTCATTGTATCAAGATTAATGATATTTTATAAATTGTATCTGAATTGTTAATTGAAATGAAGTGGTATCATCTCTAGAGAATTTCTTCCTGCTCTATCTACTTTTAAAAAAAATATGGTAAAACGGTATGATATATATATACTCGTTGTGAAAGTGATTCTTGACTCACGACTCATATATACCAATACTGTTATATGAATGACTTACATATATCTTTTTCTACTAACGGAAGTGAAAAAAGTTATTTTTAATTTATTCTTTTAAAAAAATATAATCCACGTGGGGTTTTAATCCTTCACATACAATTTTTTTTATTTCAACGATACAATTTTTTTTATTTCAACGACTAATCACTAGTTTTCTTGTAAGATTTATTATAGATGCTCTAATTTTTTTTTAAAACTAAATTACAATATGGCCTCAAAAATTAATTTTAAATTATAATATAGCCGCAAAAGAATAGTTTTAATTTTTTTTCTTTCCACTAAAGAATGAAAGGAAAAAAAATAAATAAGAAACTCAAATAATGATATGATTAAATAAGTCAAAAAATAATTTATATTTGAATAATATTAAATATACCTTGAACTTTGCTATAAGGATCATATATAGCTCTACATGAACTTTTTTTAAGAAAAATGAAAATTAACTTTAAACTAATTTTTTATCACTTTCGAAGGGTATATGTGAGCTTCTTTTGTAACAATAGAGGTATATCTGAGTCATTTGTATAAAATGTAAAGATATATATATGAGATACTTTCATAAGAAAATATATATTAGCTCTAAAAGACAAACTTGAAGGATATATTAGATCCTTTTCCTTAATTTTTTTTTTTGATAAAATCTACTACATTTAAAAATAAATTTACATATAGTATAAAATAATTATCAATATATTGAAATTGCAATAATACTACGATAATTGGATATATATCTCCCAGCGATGATAGAAATTTAAATCTTATATCTATCTTATAATACTAACAATGCCTCGTGCGAGATGAGTTCCTAACGAGTCTTAAGGTGTGTTTGGTAGGAAGGAAAATGTTTTCCACAAAAATAATTTGTCTTAATATGTTATTTATGGTATAAAATCTAGTGTATGTATATTGTTCTTTTTGTCTTTTCATGTTTGTTCAATATACAAGTCAACTTATATATTCTTTCTATATTAGCCCACTAGCAAAAAAATTTAATCACCAAAAAGAAATGTTAGCTACTAATTAGAGTAAACTAATCTTTATTTGGACTTTTAATATCATGATCTTAGTGGCTAACCATAAAGTCATTACATTAATCTCAAGAAGGATGTTACTTTTGCTACTATAAAAACTGAAGATCCCAACAAAACTATGCAACACAAGTCTTAGTACAATCCACTCATCTTTTCCTTCTAAAAATCAAAATGAGAAGCTTTGGAAATTTGGGGCAATGGTCTCTACTTGCATTTGCTTTGGTAATTTGCTTTGTAGCTAGCACTGTTGTTGCTGATTACTCTTATGACTATACTTCTCATTCACCCTCTCCATACTACAAGAAACCGGAAAAACACGTTGAACATTCTCCTCGCATTATTATTACAAGTCGCATGCTCCTTCAAAACACTACTATAAGGCACCTGTTGTTGCAAAGTATTACAAGTCACATGCTCCTTCAAGGAACTATTACAAGGCACCTGTTGTTACGAAGTATTACAAGTCACATGCTCCTTCAAAGCACTACTACAAGGCACCTGTTGTAGTGAAGTATTACAAATCACCTGCTCCTTCGAAGCAATACTACAAAGCGTCGGTGGTAGTGAAGTATTACAAGTCACCTGCCCCTTCAAAGAAGTACTATAAGGCGCCAACTCTCTCAAAGTACTACTACAAGTCACCGTCACCTGCAAAGTACTACAAATCTCCATCACCAACAAAGTACTACAAGTCGCCTACTCCATCAAAATATTATAAATCACCATCACCAGCAAAATATTACAAGTCGCCAGTTTACTACAAGTCTCCTCCACAACCACCACCAACTTATTATGAGAAATCGCCTTCTTACTACAACTCTCCTCCCCCTCCACCATACTACAAAGAATCTACCCCTTCCTATAAATCCCCTCCCCCTCCATCATACTATGAAAAATCTACACCTTCCTTTAAATCTCCTCTGCCTCCACCGTACTATGAAGAGTCTACCCCTTCCTATAAATCCCCTCCCCCTCCACCATACTACGAAGAATCTACACCATCATACAAATCGCCTCCTCCTCCACCAAAGTCCTATGAACAATCACCATCATACTACTCACCACCACCACCACCAATAGTCTACTAGAAAATATTGATCAAACCATTCATCTCAACCATTTCACCATTTCTTTTACTCTTAAGTCATTTTCTTCCTCCTAATTGGAGCAATTCCATTTCAACTTCTAAATTTTTATGTGTGTTTCCTAAAAGGGTCGATTTTTCTTGTTGTTTGATCTTTTGTACTAATAATTTATAATATGCATTTTTTTTTGTTGTAATATTTATGTAAGATGTTGAGATGTTCAAAATTTTGGCTCATTGTATCAACCTCCTTTTGATCTAATCAACTAAATTCTTTCCTTACAAATAAATGATGATAATTGCATTCTAAAAAACATATATTATTCTAGTCAATGGACTAATAAAAGGATTCAATTAAAACGAATTATTGAATTTGATTTTAATTTTAATTTTAATTTTAATTTTAATTTTTCAAACGATCGTAAGATATTTTTCTAGTACACATTATATCGAAAAGATGACAAATATTCGAGAAAGACATGAGAGAATGCAGTTTGTTTAATTGATATACTCGATCAAATAAAAAACATGATTCATTGTTAAATACCTAGCTTATTGGATAATGTTAACAGTTCCTATAATAGTTGCCTAAAAAAAGTATTTTTTCAAAATTAAAATTGATAGACTCTTAACTAAGATCGTAAATGTCTGTAGAAAGATTAAATTTTTTTTTAAAAATAAAATAAAATAAAAATTGGTAGAATCTTAGCTTGAGGAAGAAAATGTTATATCTCTTTGTTTTTTTATTTTAAAAAAAAAAGAAATAAATGTTTGCTATCATATTATCTTCCTCAATTTTTAACCGTCATAATTTACTTTTTTTTTAGAGTCAAACGATAATAATTTTGACTAGTATTTTACGATATATTTTTTCATCTTATTGATATGTAAAAAAATTAAAATTTATAGTGCTTTTCATATACTTTTTGAATATCTAAATTTTTAATTTAAAATATCGAATTAATTTAATCTAATTTATTTTTGAAATCTAATCCAATTGACTTTCGAAAAAACGCAACATAATAATTAAAAGTGGACAGATTAAAAAATTAAAAACAAAAATATCATCATAATTTTATTTCTTTTATTTGATAATCATTCTTCATTTCTCTTACTACCTTACAATAAAGAAAGACCAATATGTTCCAATTTATTCATTTCTTTTTTGAAATCAACCATTGCTTCTTCTTGCAAATACACCAAAACTTTGAATCCATTTTTTTCCCCTTCATTTGTAGAAGAATTAGGCAAGAAAAAACAAGGCTCAATACTCCCAACTAAGTGCCTTGAAAGTGGCAAAACATTCATTGGACCACCCCATCCAAAATCAACACTTGCATGTCCCAAATGTCTCCAATCAGTGAAACCACTCACCCTATTACCTACACGGAGATACGGATTCAGAATTTAGTTTATGAATTTAACTGAATTCAGTATTTTCATCAATCGATGTAAATACCTGTGACAGATTCAAAATTTCGTTAGTGAATGTACATTGATCGAAGGTTAAATTACTTAGTCAGATACTACAAGGACTGAAATACAATTTTATGAATATTAGAGGGACTAGGAGTGTAAATTCTCCTTTCGATAAATATCTAAAAAGTACGATGAGTTCAGTGCTTAGAAAATTACCTGCCGTGATCCCTTCATGGTAATGCAACTCCTGAAAATCGATGAACGATCTTACGTATTCATCGGTCGTGTTGAATTTACTCTTCTTGATTGAATCTGCAGTTTTTGACAATGGTTGATTCACAAGTTCTTGTGCAAGAAATTGAACATACATTGGGACACATCCATTTCCCCAATAGCCAAAGGGCAATTTTGGTATTATTATTCTTCTTATGTTTGTTGCATATGCAAATTTCACTTTTTCTTCGCTCGGAATTTTACTAGCCTTCACCCTGTATTCACATCGATCTTATATAATCAGTCTCTCTATAATAAATCACTTTATATGACAATAATTTACTATGACATGTAAGTTTTCTTTCGATCCGATATATTTTTGCGTGCCTTTCTAGAATAATTATTTATATATTATATTGATTTTTAAAAGTCAAGATCATATATATACCTTGCTCTCCATATAAAAGCTCCTAATGCTTCAAAAGTAGTATAATTTGAACCGGATTGTTCATGTAAAAAACCCTTAAGCCGGTCCAACCACTCATCCTTCACCTTAAAACACTCTCGAACCGCGGGTTTATCCGGTTCGATATAAGGCAAAGAGTTTTTATCCAAACTAAGGAACTCATGAAATGGGAACTCGACTCGAGGCGGGTTTCTAGGTTCGAGTAAACTCGATCGGTCCCAGACCGGTTCAAATTTGACCTGACCCGCCCCACGAGCTAGCTCCGCCATTGTATTGAAAAAAAGGGTTGCCCCGAGTCCATCACATAACGAATGATGGATCGCGGCTCCGAGAATCCACCCACCACACTCGAACCGGGTCACTTGGAGAACCAAGGGTCGGGTCAAAGCATCTTCCCCTTTCGGGTCGGGTACCAATTTTTCAAGGAAATTCACATCACGGTAATCATCAAGGTAGTTAATTCCACTCAAGGAGCGGTCCACCACGGCATGTGTCACGGGGACCCCACTACCAGCATGGCAGTGGAGCTCCAAGCGTTCGTCTTCACGACGAACGAGGCTTCCCGTGTAGTGGTAGTAGTGGACAAGGGCAGATGAGAGAGAGGACATGACAACTTGAAATGGATCGTGTCGTTCTACGGGTCGATTTTTCGGGTCGTTGACATAGACCCGAAGGTACCGAAATGTGACATGGAGGTTTATATCTGTGTCTAGGTGGGATAGAGAGAGGACGTGGTCATCGGTGAAAGGAGGCGTTGACGGGTAAACTACGGTTGTTTCCTCAATTTTTACGTCCATTTTCGCGGCGGTTGACGAAGGAGATAATGGTGGTGGTGGGTGAATAATGATGGACTTATAGTACACTTTCTTGTTTATATAGTTTGAAATATTGGTAGGTAGCAAAAAAAGTTGAATGAAACATGTTGTTGATGTTTTTTTAATTTTATTTTATTTTTTGTGGGAAAGGGATGGTTAATGGCTCTTTATTTTTTGAATTATTATATTTTGATTGATCATTAACTTTGAACTTTTAAAATAGTAAACTATAATCTCAGTAAAAATACATAAAATTTAAAATTTTGAATCCGACTTGTTCAAATCCAAAACTAGCATTGACAATGGCACTTGGTACAACCTCTTAACGTTAGGCATTTCCTCCTCAACACCAAAAACAACGCGAACCCTAGCATCATTAACCGAACTATACAAGAAATTCACAAACAACGCGATGTTTGCAAAGGTCAAGAAGGATACAACAAATGGTACTAGTATATATAAGAATTCCAATCCAAGGTTGTTCAAAGAATCACATTACTCGTGTTCTCAATACTTTACAACGCGAAAAAGACAATCAGAAATGATAAATAAATCAAACTTACAATTCTTTATTTTGTATCAAGAAATCCTCGAGGGTCAGCTGGTGCATAGTTTGAAACTCGATGGATTAAATTATCTCATCATCTACTTTGTCTTGATCAACAGTTTGAAAATCAAACCACATCTTGGTTTTACAAAACTCCATGAAGAAATACCAAGCAATGGCGAAAACAGTGAGCATGGCACTAACTATATACACGGTCCTATGGGCAACAAACATAACATAAACCAGAAAACAAGACGGAATGAAGCACATCACCACCAGTCCTGGCATTGACAATGGCACTCGATAAGGCCTCTTAGCTTTAGGCATTTTCCTCCTCAACCACAAAAACGATGCAAACTCTAGCAGCATCCCGAGACTATACAAGAAATTCACAGATGACACAATATCTGTGAATGTCATGTAGGACACAACCAATGCTACTAATGTTGGTACAAGAATCCCAACCCAAGGTGTGTTGAACCATTCTGATCTTACACCGAAAACCCGAGGCAACAACCCCATCTCAGCCATTCCAAGAATTTGGTAAGCACAACTACTCAACTGAGCCTCATACAAACCAATCACAGACAGAACAATCCCAAGTTCCATCCAATACTTCAACCAATTCCCAGCAATCATAGAAGCCAAATTAGCAAAATAACCATCAGTCCACTCACCTTGTTCCAAAGGGACAGCACCACTAGTACCCAAAAGCGGCAACACGTAACTAATACATGTAACAATCCCAGCTGAAAAAAGTGCTTTAGGAAATGTCTTTTGAGGTTGTTCAACTTCACCAGCTAAAGTACTAGCATTATCCCAAAAATTCAAGTTCCAAAAAAGGGTATTAAAGAACAAGTTCCAATCTTTTTTAACACCCTTTTGGCCTAAACTCAACCATCTACTAGGATCAATCTTTGGTATTGAAAACAATGTAATTAACCAAAAGGGGCAAAGGGAAAGTACACCAAGAACAACAGCAGTGTAACCAACTATAGACAAACCTAAGTAATTCAAGAATGACAAGAACATAGATATGAAGAAAATAGCAATATATCTAGGTAAACCAGAATCAAGAATTGGGTAAATCAATTTAATGTAATCTAAACAAAGAACAGGGTAGGAAGCTAAGTTACAAACAGCACTAAGTAATTTCCAAGAACCCATTAAAGAACCCCAAAAGGGTCCAAAAGCTTTATCAGCCCAAATGACAAACCCTCCATTACCTGGAAAAGTAGTGGCAAGTTCAGCTGTTACAAGAGCTTCAGGAACACTCCATATAAATGGGAAAATCAGAAACCCAAGAATTGCTAGAAGAGGTCCAGCTGCCCCAATTGCTGCTTCTGCACCATAAGGTCCACCAGATACCTCAAAAAAGATTATGAAAATAAGTGGAACAAGAGCTAATTTCTTGGAGTTTTTGGTGGGGGTGGGGTTGGGGGTAGTGGGTTTTTCTTCATTTTCAAGAAGATGTTGAGATGAACAAGGAATTTCAGTAGCTGTCATGGTGTAATTGCAAAGAAATGAGGAAAAAAGCTTTCTTTTTTTTGCCTCTTTTCAAAGAAGGGAAAGTGTTGGACTTTTTTTGTTTTTGTTTTGAAGATCTTAGATGCAAAGTTTGGTTACATTTATTATTGTGATCCAAAACTTTCTCTTTTTTATTTTTGTTTTTGTTTTTCTTCTATTCAATTTTAATAATAGATTGTCTTTCTTATAAAATATGTCATCTTTAATTATTATAAGCATTTTATTCATGGCCAAAATGATATATAATATATCTCTTGTGATATCTAATATAATACTCAAAATCTTTTATCGAATTAAAGATAATATCAATTTTTTTTTTGAATTAGTCTCTTCACCTATCGACATACAACTCTTAATAAGGTTAATAGATTTAGGCTTTTTTTCTTTCGACTTCTCAAAGTCATAGATTCAATAGTGTCTTCTTAAATGAGACATTTCATATGAATTTAGATTAATGATTCGTAAAGAAAATATTAAAAAAATAAATTTAATACTACAAAAGAATTATTTTTTCAATCTCTCTTAAGTTATATTTTTCTAACTTTAGTTTCCGACTTAACAACTTCACTAATTTTGGTAATATATCGCCTACCTCTCACTAATATGGATAACGGGCAACTTTGTCAATCAAATCAATAATTGCTTCAACTTGAATATGAAATCGCTTTTATTAAGAAGCATTTACCTTTCAAAACGAGACTTTTTGACACAAAAGGTTCAAATATGAATATCAAGCACTGACTCTAAACCAAAAAAATCTCAAAATAAAAGAAGAAAGAGAAAAGGTTGAACAAGTAAATTCACACAAGCTTCATCACTATTGTGTAGTTCCATTTGGTTGGAGCAAAGTTTAGCACAACACACAGCCAAAAAGGGGAAATTTCTCCTCTCAAGAACATGTTGTCTTTGCAGAATTGGGGCTATCCATCTACTGTTTCTTTACAAAACCCTTCAATTTACAAAAACACAACAACCAAAATCCTAGTATTTCCCTGTCTTGGAAAAAATGGTAGATGTTTTTCTTACTCTTCTTTGACCAGTAAACCTTTGCCTAAGTTGTTGTGTCTTCATGGGTTTGGTGTAGAAGACATTACTGATGTTGTCCATAACAAGGTTACTCACTCTACTTCATAGGTTTGCTAAAAAGTTGCAATCTTTTTTCATTTCTTGATGTTTCTAAGGTTCTTTTGTGTAAAGATTGTGTTTTTATGTATCAATTGGGGTAAAGTTCAGTTGGGTTGTCATTGTTTATGGTGATAGTTGGAGGGTCAGTTTCAGATAGATGATTAAATTAACTTACAATTTGTTTGAATGGTTGTTACTTATAATGTGTGTAAACTTGTCAATTAGATCCCAATTGGTTGTGTTCTTTCCATTTGTCCAAAAGCCTTGGTGGATAGACTTTTCTCGTTACGTTACATGTGTTGGTGGGAGCTAGTATGTACAAGTGGAATCAGTTGAGGTATGTGCGAGCTGGTTCAAACACAAGTGTTAATAAAACAAGCAAAAAAAGAATCCGAAATTGGTTGGATTTACACTATGTTGTAAAAGTTGGTTTCTTTATGTATCAATTGAGCTAAAGTTTAGTTGGATTGTTATTGCAAATGGTGAGACATAATACTTCAATTTACAAGAACTCAACAAGCAAAATCCTAGTATTTCCCTGTCTTGGAAAACATGGTAGATGTTTTTCTTACTCTTCTTTGACCTATAAACCTTTGCTTAAGTTGTTGTGTCTTCAATCTTCATGGGTTTGAAATAGAAGACTTTACTAACTTTATTCGTAACAAGGTAAGTCATTCCACTTCATATCTTCTTAGGTTCCAATTTTTGAATTGGTTTGATATCCATTACGTTTGGTGAAAGTTGAACGATGTCTCATCTGGTTCTTGTTGGTTCTTGTTCCAGGCTTTTGTCTAATTGGACTTAATGTTTATGTAAAGGTCAAGTTTGCAAAATGATCATCAGAAGTAACACAAAACAAAAAAGTGCAAGCTGCCCATTTAGTCTTTGTTTTTGGATAGTTAAATTATGTTACCATAATGGCTATGCGACAATGTTTTGGACGGGGAAAGGTGACAAAAGGCGATAAGGGTCCAAACTAACATCATCTTTGTCGCCATTGTCCCCTCACCATAAAGCTAATAGTCGATGAAGGTTCGCCTTGCCTCACGCCATTGGGGACCAGATGATTATTTTTCACAACAGTGCTATGCGATCAGCTCAGATGTCAAGCAAGAACTCTCTGATGTTTCTCTTTAATTACTGTGTTAGGAACTCTGTATGAGCTCTACTTATTTGGTACCTATTCCAGAAAATGGCTCGACGTCTCTCAAATTGAAACATCGATTTCATTAATATAAGACATATGTCTCAGAAATCACATTGTTGTATGATGGTATGTATGCCTCTAAATGTTATTGATTTGTTTGAGCCATCCCACAGGTTTTGGTTGCAGCAGCTGTATCTGCAGCAGTTGGTCAGCTAATGAAGCCTTTTACTTCATCTCTATTTTATGGCAATGAGTTCGATTTCAAGACTGCCTTTCAGGCTGGGGGTTTCCCTTCGACACACTCATCTGTAAGATTTTTATCTTTCTATCTTTGTGCAACCTTGTATAACTTCACCTATTATTTACCCATCTGCTTTCTAAGCCAATGTTTTACGATAAATTGATCAACGTTTCAATCCCAGATTAGTCTACTATAAAAGAATATTTAGTTATTCACAAAGTAGCAGCTTTATTGCCTTTTCGTTTCTGCTATGTTGCTCAGACTCTCCAACAATGTTGCCGCACTCATGTCGGATCCTTCAAATATGCACTACTTTTGGAGGATCCAACACAGACCTAGCAACATTTTTGAAGAGTCCGAGCAGCATGCCATTTCTGTCTAGTATCTCATTTAATTTCATCTACTTTCAAATGACAGGCAGTAGTCGCCACAGCCACAGCCCTTGGCTTGGAAAGGTATTTACTCCTTTTCTATTTTCCTCAAAAGGAAGTTACGTGTGAATTAGAGCTTTTGAGAAAACATTTAGTGTTGCAATCAATTCTCTTTTCTTGGCTAGTTGCTGTTTTCTAGCTATGAGTGACATGCTATTAGTGCCGTAACTGCAGGGGGTTTTCTGATTCGATTTTTGGTTTAGCAGTGGTTTACGCAGGCCTTGTGATGTATGATGCACAGGTATGCAACAAAATTTGAGTGTTTTCAGTCATTTACCTAGTTAAACAGATGTGAACCTATTATGTTTTCAAACAAAGGCTATACGAGTTGAGCTAAGTTTCTCTTTGTGCTATTATGTTGTTGAATTCGGACTCTAAAATGTTGTCATACCCATGTCTGATCCTTAAAATGCACTACCTTTGGAGATTCATATGCACCCGACAATATTATCCAAAAGTCCAAGCAACATAGCGTAAAAGTGCAAATTTTCCAGAAAATGCAAAGCCTAAAATAATAGGCACCATACCATCATATCTACCAGAGTATAGATTCGACCATATGTATTATCTGATTCTTGTAAGGTATATATGGTTCGTGTTATTCTTAAGTTTATCGTATCACATCAGTCTTGGCCTGGATCATAATGGGGATGATACAAATCCAACTGCTCGAACATTTTTTTTTTCGTTTTCAGCTCCTACTCATGTTTAGACACTATCTTACATTCAAAACTTGAACCAAATCCTTCACGCTTCACCAGATCGATGTCCCTGCTAATTAATATTCTAGGCCATGTTTATTCTATTACTCAGACTCTCCAAAAAAGATGTTGCATCTGTGTGAATCCTTCGAAAATACACTATTTTGTAGGATATGACATGCACCTTGCGACATTTTTAATAGTCCGAGCAACATAAGGTTCAATTTCAACTGAAAAATTGCATTGGTAAAAATTTTTTGTTCTTGCTTTATACACCAGGTTTGTCTCACCATCAACATGTTGCTTCTGTAGGGAGTCCGAAGGGAAGTAGGCATTCACGCAAAAGCGTTCAATAAAGCTTTGTTCAGAAATCAAATAAACTCAGTTCCGTCTACTAGCGAACTTGATGTTTTGACTGATTCTATACAAGAGAAATTATCCTCAGAGGCAGAGAACTCTGATCCTCAATTATCAGAAGAATCAAGTTCATTTCAACCAAGGTCAAAGAATGCTACTTTATTGCTTAAACCCGATGAGAGAAGAGCCCCATCGTCTAGTTTTGCTCCGTTGAAAGAACAGGTTGGTCATACAGAGGTTGAAGTCATAGCTGGTGCATTTCTCGGATTCTTTGTAAGCTTAGCGGTAAGTTTAGCATGACCCCTCAGTACTCAGTAGTCCTCATTGTTTACTTCGCCTTATTTTTTGGTCTATGAGATACCACAGAAAAACTGTATACAACATATTTACGATGCAAAATGCAACTAAAATCCCTCTATAAATTAAAATATCAAGAAAAAATTTACTAGCTTTGCCTTCATGTGACCTTTGTATGCAATTCTTGGGTGAATCGTGCTTTTGTAACCTGATGTTGATCTTGATAGTAGCACTAGATGGACGGTATGAATTGACTTCAGTGCAGAAAGCACGATCCACCTATTGACTTACCTGGACGGCGTCAATGGGTGATCAACAAGGCCTATGGCCTAGGCTGGTGAACTCCATTACACTTGGGAGGGGTGCCTGCTCAAGTTGTCGAGCCTACATCAATACATCATAATTTGTGGTAGTGGGAGTCTGCATTCTCGCAGCCCCTATTCGATACTGAATCTAGAAAAGAAGAAAATGTGATCCATGCACATATTTTCGTTCTTTTTGGGTCATGTTCCAGAGTTAATTGTCAAAAACATATATGACCTATCATTTTTCGTGAGTTTCACACTCCAACTATCGGTTATTCTCTTCTCTTTTTTTTTTGTCTGATCTATCACCATATGTGCTACTAACTATTAGTAACTGGGATTAAATATTAAGTGGATTTAGTAACTTGAAAAATGATTAGGCTACTAATACAACAACTACAATAACATATCCATTGTAATTCCATAAAGGGAGTATGGGAAGGTGTAATGACCCTCTAGGTCATTTGAGTATTCGTGTGTCTTCCTTTCGTCGTTTAGAGCATTCCAATAGCAACCTCAAGTATTTTGTGAAATGTTGAGACTTATAGTTCGGTCACTTATCTGTTTGTTTGGTTTTATGAGAATTTCTGTATATGTAAAAGTCTTGTACTCTTATTTTGATTTGATGATCGATTACTGACTGATGTCAGGTCTTGGTGATGTTGCATTTCTAATTATCACCATATTCTTTGCTTTGTTATAAGTTTTTTGCTTCTTATTGTTGACTTTTGCTTGATAGTCTGTTGCTTATGGTTTCGATCTATGAGTTAGGCTTACCTACTTGTAGGATGTAGTAGGTGTCATCGTGACCTAAGAAGTTAGGTCGTGACAATCTGATAGTTTGTAAGTAGATCTTTACCCTTACCAATTACCATGTGTGAGGTAAAGAGGTTGTTTTCAAAATACTATCGGCTCACGTAAAATAATTCAAATAGGTTTGAAAAAAGCTCAAGTAATTACATTAACAGTGTGATTCCACAATTAATTCTTTGGATTGTTTTTCCTTGAGTAAATTATCGAAAACAGTCTCTTTACCTCAAAGTTAGAGATAAAATTTGTGTATATTTTACCCTCCCCAAACTCCACTTTGTGAGATTATACTTCGATACATTATTGTTGTTGCAGTGTATAGTTGTTAAATCCTAAAGTATAACATACAAAAGAAGAAAATTGATAATGAATATGACAAAACAAAAACATATTTTTTACCTTCAAATTCTTTGAGAGCTAAAAGTGTATATTCTTTTTCCATATATGAAGTCTACATCAATTAAAAGTCTTCACAAATCACAACTGAATTTCCATTCCAAAAGCAATGGGAAAAAGGAAAAAAAAAACTAACTAGAAAAGACAAAAAAAAAATCCATTCCCACTTGTCTATATATAAATTATTCTAACATAAATATCACCATCAACCTATAGTGTTCAACTTTAGCCAACTTCTTTTGACTTGCACAAAATTTCATTAAAAATACCATCTTACCCCTTAAGTCATCAACTAAGTTTGATGCGAGATTCGTGAAAAAGTGATAGTTCAAGTTTGAAATACCAAAAGGAAGTATAAAAGAACAAAAAGAAAATTGAGAAAATGAACAAGTCAAAGCTTGTGGTGGTTGTTAGGAGGACATCCAAGCTTGTAATTGTCCTCGATCATATTGTGATTGGATGGATAAGATCTCTTTTTAGCTCTCTATTCGGAAGCACTATCCCCCTTAAATAAGCCTTACACAAATGCGAGTCCAGATTAATTAAGGACTGAATACAGATATCGAACATCGATGGAGAACCAAGGAAGTACAAAAAGACAAAAGAAAATTTTAGAGAATGAATAGGACATTTTTGCATTCAATTCTTTCTCAAAAGAAGCAACATCTTACCAATATATGAAGTCATATCATATCTATGAAAATACAAATTTAAAAAAAAAAAAAAAAAAAGAAGATAAAAGTCATACACCAACTACCTCCCTATTGATTACATTTACTCAATATATGTATCATCTACCTTATCATTGAACTTCAACAACTTCTTTGACTTACAAAAATTCATCAAAAAGTACCATCCAATTCCTCCAATAGTCATCAATCCACTAATCAAATACACAAGCTTTGTTGCTATAGCCATGATGAATACCAAAAAACCACATGGAATCAAACACATAATCACCAATAGTGGCAATCTCATTGGTACTCTATAAGGCCTTTTAATCAATGGAAACTTCCTCCTCAACCAAAGAAATGATGCAAACTCCAAAAGCATACCTAAACTATACAAGAAATTTGCACTAGAAATAATATCTTGAAAATCCATATAACTCATCCCAAGTGATATAGTTGTTGACAACACAATCCCAACCCAAGGTGTATTAAACCATTTAGACCTTAGTCCAAAAAACTTAGGTAAAAAAGCAATCTCAGCCATACCCAAAATTTGAAATGCTGAACTACTCAATTGAGCTTCAAACAATCCAATGGTAGACAACACAGCACCAATCTCAATCCAAAACTTCAACCACTTCCCTGATATCATCTCCGCGGCGTTAGCCATAAACCCTGTATCCCAATCGCGTTGATCCACGTCTACCGCCCCCGTAACAGCCATAAGTGGTATAATATACCCTAAACAAGTGAACACTACACTAGAAAAAAGTGCTAAAGGAAATGTCTTTCTTGGATTTTCAACTTCACCAGCCATAGTACTAACATTATCCCAAAAATTCAAGTTCCAAAAAAGTGTATTAAAGAACAAGTTCCAATCTTTTTTAACCCCCTTTTGACCTAAACTCAACCATCTATGTGGATGAATCTTTGGTATAGCAATTAATGACATTATGATAAAAGGGGCAAGTGAAATAACCCCAAGTGCAACAGCTACATACCCAACAATTGTTAATCCAGTATAGTTAACAAGTGATAGAAACAAAGTTGAACCAAGAATTGCTAATTTTCTTGGAACCCCAGAATCAAGAACTGGGAAAATTTCTTCTAAATAACTAATACACAAAACAGGGAAAGATGCAATATTTATGACACCAGTAAGGAATTTCCAAGAACCCATTAAAGAACCCCAAAAGGGTCCAAAAGCTTTATCAGCCCAAATGACAAAACCCCCATTACCTGGGAAAGTTGTTGAAAGTTCAGCTGTAATAAGGGCTTCTGGTACACTCCAAATAAAGGGGAAAACCAGAAATCCAAGAATTGCTAGTAAAGGGCCAGCTGCTTTAACAGCTGGTTCTTCACCATATGGACCACCAGCTACTTCAAAGTATATGAGGAAGATCAATGGGATGAGAGTTAGTTTGTGGTTTTTTTGGGGGGTGGTGGGGTTGGTGGTTGTTGGGAGGTGTTGTGGTGGTTCTATGGTGGAAAGAGGTGATTCAAGATTTTGTGTCTCAATCATTTGTGTCATTTTTCTATTTTGGCTTTGATTTGGTTTTGGAGTGGTGAAATAGTTGACTACACAAGTTTCTTGTAAGATGGATTAGCATTATAAATAGTAGATGGTGGTTGAGTCAGTTTGTGTGCGTTGAACGTATAATATATAAATCTCTCTTTTAACTTTGGTGTTCGAGTCAGTTTTTGTGTGTTTAACATATAATATATAAATCTCTCTTTTAACTTTGGTGTTCGAGTCAATTTGTGTGTGTTTAATGTATAGTATATAATTATCTCTTTTGACTTTGGTGTTCGAGTTAGTTTATGTGTGTTTAACGTATAATATATAAATTTCTCTTTAAACTTGAATTTAGCTGTTATTTATGCTCCTCGATTTTAGATGTGCACAAGCAAGTACTTAAATTTGTATACGCAGATATATCATATATGCGTTCTATGTGGAATCATACACATAGGACACCGTGCCACGTAGGACGTGAATTTTATCATGTAGAACACTCTACATGTGTTTATTTGTTTAACTTTATATGAGTTTAAATGTCTTTTTTGTTTACCCTCAAAGTTGGTGAGCATTGTTTTCAGTTGAGGTCGATTGTTAAAGGACACAATTATGTATACGATGCATTTTAATTAGTTTTTTATGAGGTATTTATTACTATCTATCGATATATTATCTCTTGATATATTATCCCGTGTATATTTCAACTAATTTTACGAAGTATCTATTATTTCTCTATCAAATAACTGTCTATCTTTTTTGGATTATATAGAATGAAATCACTTTTTGTATTCTTAAAACTTCATGATTCTCAAATGTGAAATAATCATTTATATTATTTTATGTTTCCAAAAAAAAGCTTTAATGGTTTTATATTTTATTTTTTTTAATATTTGCACATGGTGCTCAATTGGAGCCATCTTGTATAATATTTTCTGCTCCATTTATTTTTTTTTAAAAAATTATTATCAAGTGGACTTATGACCTAAGATGAGTAATAACTTGTGCACGTTATTCATTAAATTATTATTATCTATATGTACAAATATCTTCAATAATATCAACAAGACATTAAAAAAACATGTATTTTTTATTTCATTTATTAATTGGTCAAAAAGCTTTACACGTATTCAAATGACTAAAATAATCCCTTGGTAGGTTGAATGTTTTTTTAGACTTAAGAATAACTCGTCGTCAAGCTCGATTCAGAAGATATTGAAATGAGGATTTGAGTTATACGTATGAATGACCATCTACAAACAATCTGAGTCATCACAAAAAATTTGGATTTTACGTAAATATGTCATGATATTTATTTGAATATAAGAATTTTTCGTAAGAAAAATTTAAGAATCTGTTATTCGCTTTAAAATAAAATTAGTTAAAAAATAATATCAAATAAAGTGAAATGGAGGGAATAATAATTGTAACCAACTCTTAAGTTTCACATGACAAATTGTGTGAATAAATTAACAGCGGAAAAAACAATTCAACAATTAAAATGTGAAGGCAAATTTTGTTACTTAATAACCATAAAGTGGGTAATTTCTTTAAAATATTATTTTTAGTAATATGCATGTGATGACGTTTGGTTGAATACGAAGTTTAATTAAGTACGAATTTATAATAAAAATTAAGTTATAGTTATTTGTGTCGTTGGAAGGTAAAGTGATTAATACGACCAATATATACTTGTTTAGACTATTTCGATATGTTCGTTTAACAAGTAAAATTTGATTTTGCAGCATGTCGGGATGAGTCTTTTCGTATAAAAGAAATTTTATTAAGCGTGAAATTTAAAGATTTATAAAGAAACACTTAGCTATATGATTAGCATATGCAACTGAATTTTTACAGAAAAAAAAAATATATATCATAGAGTTTTGTATTTCGTTTTAATCATTCTTATTTCTGAATGCCATTGTGTGATCTGATCAAATTTAAAATTATGTATCTACGTATAATATAGTTTTATAGCAGGTTGTTACTACCATCTTTGAAGAATATTTTTCTAATATAATAATATAAGTTGCTTAAAAATAAAGAAAATAATTTTCTTAATATAAGTAGAAAAAAATAAATAAAATAAATGACATTAGCCATATTAATTGTGATATTTCCTAATATATTTTTTTTTAATTTTCTTTTATGGTAGATGGAGTAGAACAAAAATCTTGTTTGGAATAATAAAGTAAAAAGAGAATAAATAATTGAGGAATATGATCTGTAAAATACCAAATTTATGTCAATAAATATCAAAAGCATATGATACTATTCTTAGAATCAATTTATCAGTCAGTTTTTATTTATTTTATAATTTTGGAGTCTTCGAGCTTTATAAAGTTGATTTAATGGTTAAGATAAATTATTCGCTCGACAGGATTTAAAGTTTATAAATTTTTATAATAATCACAAAAGAAATATAAAGTAGTAAACAGAATCATAATTACATATTTATAAATATTACACATTAAATTTGTTATTGCCTCGATTAATATAGACCATCTATTAAGGGGTAAATTATTCTCATGTTTTCAAAATTCAAACTCGATGTATTTAATTAGAAATGAATAATTCACAATCATCCCATTATATTCATTCAGTAGTCTGTCATACAAATTATTTATTTACTACATTATTTAAACGGATATTTGACGAAAATACCTTTTTGCAATTTCTTAAATGAGTAATACCTTATTAATTTTCTTAAATAACAATTATTTTGGACTAATTTTTTTTACCTAAAAGTGATAAAATAAAAAGGAACAAAAGGAAGTATTATTTATATTTTGAAGTTTAAGTACTAATTTAAATTTTTTTTATTAACAAATTTGGTGGAATTAGGTTCAAATGCCCACCATCTTTAAGTGTCCAACTTTTAGTGTTTTAATTAGTGAGAATATTAATTAAGTGAGATATTTAGGCAGAGATAAATAATAATTTAGATAATATTATGGGAAATTTATTAATTATGTATATTATATTTAATATACAAAACCTATATATTTGCTAGTTGTTTTATTTTAAACCAGATCACTCGTAGACATTGAACTATAACTATCGACATAAGTTTTTTATAGGACTTAAGCGGCATAACTCGTGTTATAGTATGATACAAAACTATAAATTTATGTTGAACGAAAATTATTTGTTATCACAGTGTCATGAACATTTTCAACCACTTATTTTTACGAGAATAAAAATTAGGGCAACTTTCACTTATCGCAAATAAAAAATTCATATTTGTATGCTATAGCAAAGTTTTGCATAGTTGCGCTCCATAACAAACATAGAAACTGTATAATTCACTATACATATACAGTTGAAGCAAATTGTATAAAACGAGCACAATTTAAATTAAACCCTAGCTACTCCATTTATTTTTAGATTATTAGTTTGCTATTATATATAATTGGGAAAATTGTATATAATACCAAACTAATAACCTAAAATAAATTAAATAGCTAGGGTTTGATTTAATTGTGCTCCATAACAAACGTTAGCTAAAATTTGCCAGCGTCTCTCTCCCAAAAATCTCACTCGCCACTCTCCATTCTCGCTCGCCTCTCTCGCTTTATACACAGAAGTGTATAATTCTGTTTCTGTTTTGTATAAAGCGAGAGAAAATTGTATATACACATGCAAAAATATATATCTTCGTGTTATACACTTAATTATATAATTTACAAACATTTTACTTCAAATATTGCAGAGAAAAAGGCCAACGAGTTATACAATTGCGAATTATACAATTGCAGTGAAATACAATTTTCTCTAGCTTTATACAACAGAAGTGTATATATTGTGTTTCTGTTTTTGTATAATGCGAGAGAAAAACATATATCTTCTTGATATACACTTATAATTATGCAATATACACACATTTTAATTCGATTCAACTGTATGCAGAGCAAATTATACAATTGCAGCGAAATAGGCCAGCGAATCATACAATTTAAGCCAGCGAATTATACAATTGTATATGTATAGCGAATTGTACAGTTTTATGTTTGCTATGGAGCGCAATTATGCAAACTTTGCTATAGCATACAAATATGAATTTTTTGTTTGCTATATGTGAAAATTGCCCTATATAATTTTCCCTAAAAATTAAAGACCACAAAAAATAATCAAAATAGCCCAAATCTCTTCTTATTGGGCTTTTTTATGTTTACCATTTGGGCCTCAAAAAGATATTTTTAGTTATTCCATTTCTATACGTTTCTTTCTTGTTTCTTCTTTTCTTCTATCACTCAAATTCAAGAAAAAATGAATTTTTTTGAAGAGAAATTTAGCTAAAAATGGAGTCATTATTCATCAAAAATTTGATATTTACAACTCAAATTTCTGTTCCAAAGAGTAATTCAATAAACCCAATTCCTATAAGAAGGATTTGTAGCTCTTCTTGGAAAATTCACTTCAAAAAATCAGACTTTCAAGGTATTCTTTTTAGTTTGTTTAAAATTACTCTTTTACTATTAATTAAATGATTTATAGCTTCACGAAATGGTTAAAAAGGAGTATTTTAGATCACTAGATAGCCTTTGATGGACAAAATTATGTGATATTATTACGCTAGTGAGAGGTGGCAGGCAGAGACGGAGCTAAGATTAAGAGTTGGGAGTTTTAAATTTTTAGGCAAAAGAGAAAACATGTTAATAGTGAGGTTCGGGAGGTGGCTGGCAGTGACGGAGCCAAGATTAAGAGTTTGGAGTTTTAAATTTTAAAGGCAAAAGAGAAAACATGTTAATAGTGGGGTTTGAGAGGTGGCAGGCAGAGACGGAGCCAAGATTAAGAGTTTGGAGTTTTAAATTTTAAAGGCAAAAGAGAAAACATGTTAATAGTGGGGTTCGAGAGGTGGCAGGTAGAGACGGAGCCAAGATTAAGAGTTTGGAGTTTTAAATTTTAAGACAAAAGAGAAAACATGTTAATAGTGGGGTTCGAGAGGTGGCAGGTAGAGACGGAGCTAAGATTAAGAGTTTGGAGTTCTAAATTTTAAGACAAAAGAGAAAACATGTTAATAGTGGGGTTCTAAGGGTGGCAGGTAGAGACGGAGCCAAGATTAAGAATTTGGAGTTCTAAATTTTGGGACAACAAAGAAAACATGTTAATAGTGGAGTTCGAACCGACAAAACTAGTGTGAAAAGTATTTTCACCGTCTATTCTTACCACTAAGCTATCGATTTTTCTAATATAAATATAGAGCATACGGAAAAGCTAGTGGGTTCATCCGAACTCACGAACACTAGAATTATTCGAGGTGCACAAAATCTGGCCCGGACTGTCGGACACTACACAAATTTCAAAAGTTTATCTTTTTTATTAAATTTTGTGTCAAAGTCAAAGCGAGTGACAAATTGGGACATAGGGGAGTAGTAGTTTTTAACTTTTTTTGGTTACTTTTTTTTTTTCAACTTTGTTGTTATTACTGTTAGTCTGTTAGATATGTTGTTCGGACCCTCCAAAAAATATTGTTGTACTCATGTTGTATACTTCAAAAATGAATTTTTGGAGGATTCGACACACCTGGAGTGATTTTTGAAGACTCCGAGCAACGTAGACAGGTTAGGAGCAATTTTTATGTCTTTCAGTGTGAGATTATGAGCTAACCTAGTTTGAGTTGATTGATTTACTGGTAAGCTTTTGTCTATTTGATTCAGTGTGTTTTTAAGGCTCTAAGACATACTTTTCCTTGCGACTGAGTGTAATCTTTGAATAGGTCACACTATATAAATGATATTCCACTTTATCGTAAGTTTTTTAAGAAGTTTCTTTGTCCGTATATTCTTCATTCAAGCTCAACATTATGAATCTTGGAAAATACATACATTTTACTTTTGTTCATTACAGGCCACACGTAATTTGTTGTTTATAAGCGTTTTTCACCTTTGATAACACTGTTGCATTATTTTGTTTCTTGATATTAGGACACTTTAACGTGTATGTGAACTTTTATTGAAGTTTTGACATGTATAGAAGAGTTTTATGTAGTGCCTAACCTATTATATGGGGCGCGAGGAGCATTCTCCAAATCCTCTTCACTAGGAAATTATATCGCATGTACAAGGTTAAGTTTTATATACATTCATACAATGCATATGCATACAATATGTGTTGAATCTCCTTCGTTTCTTCGTGTGTTTACTTCTTTATATTTTGAATCCTCTTAGTGAAAATCGTACCTCTGACATGGGATACAGATGAAAATGGTTGAATTTTGCTGTAATTTTAGCTTAAAGTATGCTTATTACCGGAGTTTAAGAGGAATCGTTCAAGGAAGTAATGCGGTTTCCATTTCTTATCCCATAAAGAGGGAGAAGTTCTTTATTTTCCGTTAAGCACCTATTGATTGGTAAATGAATTTGCTTTCGACTTAAGTCATATGCTCTGCATGATTGAAGGAACGGAGAGAAGTGTTGGATGACTTCTTAGTCGGGACTTTACTCAAGTTTTTCACATTTTTGTTTTACGAACACATTATATTTTCCTCCCCATATGCAACTTACTAGGTGCAGACATTGTGTTTCATTCACTCGTTTTAGCTTCCGTTATTGTTTCATTTTCTCACTTTAATCATGCTTAACTGTTTTTTCAGATTTTCGGGACTATGTAAAACCTTCCCGCCTTTTACCAGCCACTAACGTAAAATTCTGTGGAGATTGGTCGCTGGAAACATTGCTCAATCATTCGAAATTTGATAGATCCAATTCGCTTTACCAAGTCAAGCTGCAAACGAGTAATGCATATGGATCAGATCTTACCGATATAAACTCTGAAGTCCTGCTTTGTTTGATAGATGAAAATGGTGACTCAATCTTACAGAGGATATCGGCTGGTCTAGAGAACGCTCGTTTTATGCAGTCACAGGATTCTGATCTTCTCCAATTCCGAAGAGGTTCCGTAGATGAGTTCATATTTGAAGGACCTAAACTTGGAAAACTTGCAGCTGTTTGGATCAGTCCAGAATCAGGTCAGTATTTCCAACTAACTGACGTAACGTAAGCTATGCTGCTCGGACTTGTAAAAAAATTGTTGTTGCATCCGTGTCGGATCTTCCAAAATGCAGTACTTTTGGAGGATCCAACATGCAACCTTTAACATTACTGAAGAGTCCGACTGACATAGAATGTAAGATCAATTCTTCTGAGGATCGAGATGTGATCTTTTTGTCTAGAAAAGTATATTTGGCATATCGATATCTTCTAAACTGTGTTTGATGTGTCAAAGTAATCACCTCAGTTTACAAATCACACTGTCTGTATCTGTCTCAAATTAGTAAGCATACCGAATACTCAACCGTAGAAGTTCATCAAGCACCAGAAAAACTGCTCGGACATTTTTGAAGAGTCCGAGCACGTAGCTTTGAAGCATTTGTTTGATTACTATTATGCATATTTTAAGGCTCAAGCATCAAAAAGGAAATTAACGAACATGTATGTAGCCGGTTTCTAAATTTTCGTGCTAATATGAATAAGCAGGTCAGTGGAGACTCGGAGGCATGAACGTAACTGTCATTTCCCTTCTAAATTCCGTATTAATAGGAAATGAGAAGAATTTATCAGACTGTACTGCCATCCAGTATGACTTTGATATCGAGGATGTCTTGCTCGGTGAGAAAAGCGATAGTTCCATGATAGAGTTTAGACCATGTTCGGTTACTGAGTTTTCCGAGGACAACATTATATCATTAAGTGAGAAAACCTCGCCATCATCTTCCGTTAGTACACAGAACATATCAAACGAAGACACAATGAAGGAATACACAGATTTGAAGTTATCTTTATTGGTCTACGATGCAATCCTTACTATTGCTGGCTCGTCTATTGCATTCTTAGCCGGAGATAAGTCTGCAATCGCCTTCTTAACAGGTGGTATCGTAGGATTCCTCTATCTACTACTCGTGCAGAGATCTGTTGACGGTATACCATCTTCAGAACTGACTCAAAGTAACAGAACAGAAACTCTCGATCAAACCGATAAAGGATTCAAAGGCTCAGTGTTGAACATAGTATTAGCTCTTGCAGTTACAACCGTTGCAGCAAAATATGCTCTCGGAGACGTTGCTAGAGTGCTGACACCTCAAGATCTCATGCTTGGAACGATCGGATTTCTACTGTCTAAGGTATCTGTTATTTTAGCTGCTTTCGTACCGATAACAGGAGGTTTAAGAGAGAACAAATGATACTATACTCATTCATAACAAAACAGATAGATGTATAGAATCGACGTATTTGTTTTACACACTTGTTTTTCGATGTTTCTATACTTGAGCAGAGAGTCTATCGGAAACTAGATTATATCTGATTGTAGAATTCCGTGCCAAATTTACGTGTATAAAACAAAAATGCATCTGCCGGGAGTCGAACCCGGGTCTATTGCTTGGAAGGCAATTATCCTAACCGTTGGACTACAGACGCTTTGATGTGCTTCATAGTTTTCATAATTATTATTTTTTTAAAATACAATTGGTTTCTAAAGCAATGTCACAAGTATATGTTGTGGGGGTGGGGGTGGGGGTGGGGGGTTCGGTCGTCTATAGGTGGTGGGATAGGGTAAGTTGGATGGTCACACTATAACAAAAATAACTTTTAGCGGCATTAAATATTGACACTAATAAAGAGTACTAAAGTCTTTATCGGTATTAGTTAAGTGTCATTAGAACCAATGTCGCTAAAGGCTTTAGGAAAATATACAAAGAGTGACAATTGCCGCTAAAAATACATATTTAGCGGCAATTAAGAATTAAGTGCCGCTAATGATCATTTTTGTTGTAGTGTCAAACCTTACATCGTATTGGATCTTTTATTCGTGCATAAGATCAGGCTTAGAGCACGTGAAACTCATCAGTATTGCATGAGGACATTTGAAATCATAGTGTGGGGGGAGGGGGGGGGGGGTTCGTAAGACAGTCGTCTATAGGTGGTAGGGTAGGTTAAGTTGGGTGGTTAAAACTTACATAGTATCTGATTTTCTAATCATACGTAAAATCAAACTTAGAGCGCGTAAAACTAGTCACTATTACATTACGACATTTGAAATCATAGCATGTTTTTATGAAAAATAATATTTTATTTGTGATAGAAAAGCAATTTGCTCTGTATAGTAAAGATTATTAATCACGAGCTTAACTATACCCTAATATGAACAACATCGAATTTTAATATTTTTTTTCAAATATAGAGTATTTCCAAAGAAAGAATCATAAATCATAGTAATATAATCATCATTTATTGGTCAATTAATATGGCATCATTTTCCAATCTCCTTGAGTTATATACGTTATCTTATTAAAATATTTATTACACGTCAATTCTATCTGATGATATATATTTGTAATTTTTTTAAAAAATATATATATTTATCTCATCCGAAATTTAATTGATTGATCATCTCAAGGTGGATCTACAATTTTAATTACGAATTCATGTGAATTAATAATTTTTATTCATATATATTAAAAAGTTCACTAATTAAATATCTATAAATATTAGTAAATAACAATTAAGTTATTATTATATAACATTTACCTGAATTCACAATAAAATTCATAAACTTCAAAATCATGAATCCGCCTCCGAATTACAATATATTGATGTTGACGACTAGCATTATTCCAATGTATATACTATATACTCTTCTGATTAATACAAAAAAAATAATACTAAATTGTTTTTTCCCCCATAAATTTGCAGAAAAAAACAAAATTTAAAAGCTTCATTTTAGAGGTATCAAATGTAGACAAGATCCTTAATTCTACTTTTTGCATGAGGTAGACGATTATTCCAACAAAATTGATTTTAACATTTTGTGAATATTAATAATTATAATATTCATTAAATTAATAGAAAAATAATTATTTTTTAAACCCAATTTTCATGTTATCATATCAAGGTTGAACCATCAACGGTTATAGTTCAGTAGGTTCCAAGTTCGAGCTCTAAATATGAAAAATCTTTGGGACGGAACTCTTTCTCCGAATAAAGTCCTATGCGACACGAATCTAAATAAATCGAGCTCTAATACGTAAGTACCAAACATAGAAAACAAACAAAACATTTTATATATTGCACGAAATTTAAATACACGATCTTGATGTATTATTATTGTTATTCATAAAAAACTAAACTCTATTTTTTTAAGTTGCTCATTAATTTAATATTAAAAGAAAACAAAATCTAAAAATTTCATTTTAGAGGTATCAAATGTTGACAAGATTCTTAAATTATTAATTCTAATTTTGCATGAGGGACGATTCTTCCAATAATTATTTTTTAATATTTTGTTATATAAATAAAAGGACAAAATAGCATCTTTGGGAATAAGCATTGTAACTCTAATACCAACAATTCTATGTATATCTAACTTAGAACTATGAGAAATAATATAATTTTAACTGCAGGCTTTTAAAGTGTGTGTTCGATTCGGGATGAATATAATTTCTTCATTTTTAATTAGACGTTTTGAATTTAAATTTTTGAATACAGAGGTTACAGGTTTAAAAGGTTTGAACGAATCTGTTAATTTTACTCTAAATTCATTATATTCGTCTCAAAAAAGTCATCACTTATTTATAAATTATTACTTCAGACTCAAATAATTTAAACGAAGTAAAATCTTAATTCATAAACTTTACATTCTGACTCTGCCTCCGTGTAATTTGTCAGTTAATTAGTGGCATGTCCCTATATAGGATACTTCACATAAGAAAATGACATGATTAATAATTAGACTAAGAGACAAAAAGAACAATAACCATGGCCTAAAAGAGCATTTTCTTTTTTTAAGTCCAATTTATGGATATTTCGATATACAAAATATTTTGTGTTTATAAAAAAAGTGATATAAATCACTTATTTTGATACAAACATTAGTGACTTATTCAACAATGGGATCTTAAAACTTATAGATTACACAAAAAGGGATATTATAATTGCTTCAAGAATTCTCATATAGCAAATCTCAAGCATATACTTAAAATAAAGTAGTAAAGAGACTAAGTAAGGTATATTGTCAATGCAAATTAATTTTTATGTTATCTTAAGTCAGTTAAAAGATAACTACAAAACTCTTTATTTAAATTTAAACTATTAACTTAAAAATAATACTTCTGATGACACATTATATTTTTCATACTCTACTGATGATCGGTATATATAAATTATATAGAATAATAAGAGCACAGTAGAAAAGAATTACTGCTTCCTTTTCAATTTATTTATCTGATTTTGATGACTTGTCACAGATCAAAATTTAAGAAAGTAAAAAAAGACTCTAGAATCTTGTAGTCTTAAATTAAAAATACATAGAATATATCATAATACCTTTTTTATCTTAAATATGTCGGTGTAAAAAGCCAGAATTAAATAATTGTCAAAAAGAAAACATATATTTTTTTTCCAAATAGATTAAAAGCGAAAAAATAAAACAAACAAACTTAAATAAAGCGAGTACTAATTATCATCTTGAAATTTCTAAAACGGCATTTATCTTTATTTGAAACAGATGGAATATAGAGCAAAAAACTACACTTATTTCGAAACAGATGGAGTATAGTATAGTATATTATAATATATCTTAATAATGGAGAGAATTTTTTGTTAGTTCCTAGTGTATATATATAGTCTCCAAAACACTCTAATTTTTCACATCTGTTTTTGTTGTTATAATTTGTAAAAATGTGTCCAGCAACACTTTCTTATTCATCAAATTCTTGGCTTAATGCAAGAAATGAAATATTTTCATCTAAAAAATGCAAAACAAAATTACTAATAAGAGTTGATCAAGTTCTTACAGTTTCTCCTAAGAAGAGTGAACAATCAATTCATGAATTATTATCAGTACAAGGAATTTCTCATACTCATCGTCGCGTTCGCGAAGTTGTTTGGAAACAAACTAATGTTACAAATGAATATTTGTGTTGTAAGAATCCAAGATTTGATCCTATGTTTCTTGATGAAGCTTATGAATTATGCAGGAAAATTTGTGAAGAATATGCTAAGACTTTCTACTTAGGTACATTTTCTTGATGATCACTTCTTTTTCTTTTTTCAAGATTGACATGTTAAATATAGTTTAGAAATCTATGTCATGTACATTTTTACTGGCTTTCTGTTGTTTATTGTGTCTCGATTATCATACTGTTTTGTTGTTGTTGTAAATGCTTTGTGTTGCTTTCCTTGTTATTGTTGTGCTTTCTTCATTTTCGTTTTTCCTTTTTATAACTACTTTGATTTGTTGCATTTGATCCGAGGTTCCTTTCAACCTCTCTACCTCCACGAGGTAGGGGTAACGTCTACGTACACTCTACCCTCTTCATACCCTACTCGTGGGATTTCAATGTATATGTTGTTATTGGACAATTTATGACTTGAGTTTTTGCTAATATGCTAGTGTGATGTTTTTATTTTGATGGATATATAAACCATCTTTCTAAAGCTTTTCAATCAAAAGTTGTGTTGATCGGGCTATTCAAAAATGTTGATGGGGTGTTTGTGGACGATCCTCCAAAAGCAGTGTATTTTTGGAGGAATCGATACGGGTGTGATAACATTTTTGGAGAGTCTAAGTAAATATAACTTGATGTTCAATTTGATCATGTTGTAGGGACTAAGCTAATGACTGAAGAGAGACAAAAGGCAATATGGGCTATCTATGGTAAGCTATAGTGATTTAATGATCTCAATTTTTTCAAATTATTATACTAGGCCTTAACTAGTATCAGAGTCAATAGTTCCGCGAGATGAGTATGGAGATGATAGAGTGATATTTTTAATGGTATGACGCCTTTTCGAAAAAACTTTGCAAGTTTGGCTCATAGTACGCAATATCACACCATGTTAAGACTAAGATTATCACACCACATAAGAAAAAACTACATATAAGGTGTAGTGATATTCTTAATGATACGACGCCTTTTGGGAAAAACTACGCCAGTTTGGCTCATAAACAGACTATGTCACACCATGTTAAGAGTATCGCCCGAGAGAAAAAACTACATGTGTGGTGTAGTGATATTCTTAATAGTTTAAGACATTTCGAGAAAACTTTACGAGTTTGGCTCATAACAAACAATATCACATCATGCTAAAAGTATCGCATAATATAAGAGAAAAAGCTACATATAAGGTGTAGTAATATTCTTAATGGTATAATGCCTATTGGGGAAAACCGTGCCAATTTGATTCATAACAGACAATATCACATCATGTTTAGAGTATCACCCAATATAAAAGAAAAAGTTATATATAAGGTGTAGTGATATTCTCAATTGTATAACGTCTTCTCGGAAAAACTTTGCGAGTTTGGCTCATAGCAAACAATATCACACCATGTTAAAACTAAGATATCACACAAGATAAGAAAAAAAGCTACATCTAAGGCATAGTGATATTCTTAATGATATGACACCTTTTGGGGAAAACCGTCCCAGTTTGACTCATAACAGGCAATATCAGACCATGTTAAGAGTATCGTCCAACAGAAGCAATTGAAAATTGTCTTTTTTTTGTTGTCTTTCAGTATGGTGCAGAAGGACAGATGAACTTGTTGATGGTCCTAATGCAGATTACATGAACAACTCAGTTCTTGATAGATGGGAACAAAGATTAGAAGACATTTTCAACAACAAACCTTATGACATGCTTGATGCTGCTTTAACTGATACCATTTGCAAGTTTCCTTTAGACATCAAGGTAACAAAATCTTCGATATCTCTTTGTCGAAAAAAACTAACCTTCTATAGTATGTTGAGATGAATTTTTCGCGTTTATGATGAGCAGCCGTTCAAGGACATGATAGACGGGATGAGAATGGACACAAGGAAAAGCCGATACGCGAATTTCCAAGAGCTGTATATGTACTGTTACTGTGTGGCTGGAACAGTTGGCCTAATGAGTGTGCCAATAATGGGAATTGCACCAGAAAGTTGTGTTTCAGCTCAAACTGTATATAATGCAGCACTTCATTTGGGCATAGGGAATCAACTTACTAACATTCTAAGAGATGTTGGAGAAGAGTAAGTTATTGTATTATTATCACAATCCGAGCCTATGACATGTATTGTTCGTTTTGGTCCAACAAACCTCAAGGATTTGCTCCTGTGTGTTCCTTCTATAGAAGCTTGTCAGTTTAGAAGTCTGTCAGTCCTCTGTCACGAGTGTCACAACTATCTAACTATTTTGCTATTGATGTGTTTCTAGTGCATTGAGAGGAAGAGTTTATCTGCCACAAGATGAACTAGCACAGTTTGGAATACGCGACGAGGACGTGTTCGCGAGGAAAGTGACAGATCAATGGAGAGAGTTCATGAAGGAGCAGATAAGAAGGGCAAGATTTTACTTCAATCTTGCTGAGGAGGGTGCTTCACATCTTAACAAAGCTAGTCGTTGGCCAGTAAGTACAACTCAAGATTAAACAAAAGTCCGCGTCTCTGTTGTTCAGACTCTAAAAAAAATGTCAATAATTGCATGTCGGATCCTCCAAAAGTACGACATGCAACATTTTTAGGGTTTGAACAACTTTAGCATGTAGGTGTTAAGTGTATGAGACCAAGATCCACAAACTCACACATGAGACTCACTAAAGAGGGGAAAAACAAAACATAGTTATTAGTACTGTAGGTAACTCGTAAACTTCAAATCTTGGATTGACTACTTGTTACGAGATCATGATAAGTTTTTTTTTTTTTGGTATATGTTGTGATTTTGTAGGTATGGTCATCCTTAATTTTGTACATGAAGATATTGGATGCAATAGAGGAGAATGATTATGATAACTTGACAAAGAGAGCTTATGTTGGAAGAGCAAAAAAGTTGGTCACTTTACCTGTTTCATATGCTAGAGCTTTATCTTTGCCTAGTTTAGCCATTCAATAGACAAAATACAAGAAAATTGTATAATGTAAAAAAAAAATATCATTCTATTAATATAGACCTCGAGAATCGTTCGATCAACTCTAGGCTAAGCTTGTGAACTTCAAAGCATACCATGTGCAAATTGCAATTATAAAGTCGACCCTGATTTGTTCAGAACTGAGGCGTAATTGTGGGCTACAAACCCAAATGTGATGATTAAGAAAACTAGCAAGTATGAGTTCAAAATATCAACCAACTTGAATGTAACCCACTCAAGCAGAATCAAAAAAGAGTGCAAACTGAGCAAGGTGAAAGATGAATTACTCAAGAAAGAACCCCATTACAAGGTAAAAAATAATGTCTTGTCTCTACAGAGTTTCACACAAGAGTTATCGTCCTTCTATAGGGTGACAAATTAATCGGGGAACGAAATGATGGTAACAAAAAAATTACTATAAGGAGGATAAGAGAAAAAGGTTAAATCATTGTTTGTAGGAAATGATACATGCATAGTGACTCCTTCACCAGTTTTCGCAGTCTCTTTGCTGCATTTTCGTTAAGTTTCAGGAGAACTGTATGTAAGGAAGAATGAATCACCTGCACGATTTGCATGCTTTGTGCAACTTGCAATGTCGCAATCTGTAATAACTATAGGATTTCACAGATGGTCATAGCATATAGACCAGTTTATCAAGAACTGATGCGATAAAATCACCAAGTTTGTGCAGCTTTGATCATAAGAAGTAATCTGGTGTTCTTCGCGTTACATCTGGCTCTCCTCGCCTAGGAGCTGGTTCAAACTGCAAAACAGAAAGAATAAGGGAAAAAAGGGTTATTTCAAACATCGTGAATTGTTATTAGCAAGAACTTGCAGATCATACGAAATATAGGGCGCAACTGAAGAAGATCTATATAGGCAATACTAATTATTAGAATTAAGTTTGTCATGTTAGTACATTCAGTGGGCTTTTGGACTAAAAAAATTAGGCAAATTAGTGTTGACAGATTTATACACCAACAGCAAATATGAAAAACGTATACTACTTTTTATTCTTGTTTTAATTTTATATAATATTGGATCAAAATAAACTTAGAGCAATATGGACAATGATGATTCATATGGTCGATTCCCCTACTTGCTTGGAATTGACTTATAGTGGTTGCCTGTGATTTTGAAAGACAGCAGTTTGTAATAGGAGGTTTGGGTTATCGGAGGTAGACTTAGCAAAAGATAGGACCTAATGGTAGAAAAAAGATCCATATAGGTACTAGTTGAGGATAAATTTGACTTGTTAGAGAAGTGCTAATATTATAATTATATATATTTAACTTAAATTTCCATTCTTATTTTAGTTAATATGATGATGATATGAAATGAGCTTAAATGACAATGCGGGATTCATATAGCCAACCCCGAGACAGGCATAGCCCATAGTTGTTGTATATGTTGCTCGGACTCTCCAAGATGTTGTCGGATCCACCAAAAATACACTACTTTCGAAGGATCCAACGCATACCTAGTAGCATTTTTGAGGAGTCTGAGGCTCCGAGTAACATAGGTGATTGTTATGTGTGGGGTGTAAGGGACGGGCTAGAGGGAGATAAACCTGAATGAATGTATGGCCATTGCAATCGTCAACTTCCAAGATGGACGCCATATTCCCACAGCGGTAGCAATAATTAGGGGCACTAAATATGGTAACCACTTTTTGATCCTGCAACAAGAAATTGTTTAAATCAATCTCTCTTGGATCAAACTTGCACATAAAGTATATACAGATAGATAGAACCGATTACATGGGCCCAATTGAATCCCTCCATAACCAGCTGGTGTGCTCTCGCAATTAGTTTTAAGCCGTTGGTGTGATTAAACTGTTCAGATATATCCTGTTGCAATGCAAATAACATGATATCAAGCTCAGACGAACCACTACATAATACAGGGTTAAAGATAAGGTGATAATGAGTAGGCACGTTACTTGGCCAAATGTATATCCAGCACCTCTGGGTGAAATACCCCACCCGCAACGATCATCAGGATCAGACCACAAAAGATCACACATAGCCCCCTCATGTGGAACTTCTTGGACGCGGTCAAAATTACGGATATTATCAAGAGTTTCAATAGATGGAGACAAACCACCATGGAGGCAAAAAATTTCGGATTCAACCTAAAAAGATCCCAAGAAAACCATCACACAAATTCAAGTGAAAAAAGAATTAAAAGTTTGAAAGCATAAACAAGAAATGCACAGGAGGCATATTTTCACTCCTGAAATTATACAGAAAGAAAACCGAACTTCATTTTGAAATAACAAGCAAATATTGCAGTAACAGTGATGATGATGTTTGGCATGTCAGCAGCAGCGCTAATCAGTTTTACAACCTAAACAATATTAAAAGGTCTTTGAATTTCTGTATCGCAAGATTTAAGCAGCGTCAGCAGCAAAATTCTTTTTCTAAAATGAAAGAACCATGAAGAGACAAGCATGTAATGTAAAACAAATAAATAATACTCGTGCATGGCATCCAGAACATAGCTAAACTGAGAAAAGCATACTAACCAAAGCTGTGAGAGGAAAGTAGTCAAACAGATCTGTGAAAGTCTTCCACACATTGGCATTACCATATCTGTGAAGTGTAAATCCAGTCAATCAGCACACATTTGCAGGTATAATACTCAAATTCAGATGAAACTTACAATCACGTCAGAAGAAATGAGGAATATTACAGGACTGTCTGACCTAAGTTAATGAAAAGAGATAAGACTGTTAAAAGATTCTAACTCATACTTTAAGCATTAAAAAAAAATTTAAGGTAGATTTAAGGAATTTAGAGAGACACCAGAGTAAATGCATGCTTTTTCAACATACTATAAAGGAGTGCATGAAGATACTGTCAAAATTGACAGTGTAATTTTTTTAATTTTTTTTTTAATATCGTGGTGCCCAAGCCAGCCTGCACACCTCGACTAATTCCATAGTAATTCTGTGCACCAAAGCTTGGATAGATGGGAAGAAATTGCAAGTGTTTTGCCTCTGCTGGGATTTGAACCTGACGTCATGATTCTGAACCCACATCATTGACCACTAGGCCACACTCTTGGGCAATGTTGCTCGAACTCTTCAAAAATATTGATGGGTACGTGTTGGATCCTCCAAAAACAGTGTATTTTTGAAGGATCCGACACAGGTATGGTAACAGTTTTGAAGAGTCTGAGCAACTTAACTCTTGGGTGCGTAGCATAATTGTAATTTTATTCAAGCAATGGATGTTGATCTAGCACGCTAGCTACAAGCAATCCTTCCCAAATTTTCTGAACACACTTCGCTTTCATCAGTTCCTGCTGTCCCAAATTACGTACCTTTTGAACAGGAAATCTCCTCTCTCCAAGAATTCAAACTAGTAAAGCTGCTCCTACTTTCAAATGATTTTATTCTCACAAGATACTTGACCCATCTGTCCCATTTCCTTGAAATTTTACTAATATCTCAAGCAAATCGTGAAAACAGCTCCTGAATGACAACCTACATAGATAAACCGCATTCCAAATACATCTAAAAAGTTACTATACTATAACACGCAGGCAATCTGTCTTCTATCTGTAAATGTGGAAATGACTCTATCCGTAAATACTGTGTCCATAAACTTCTATAAGAAGGTAAAGGTAAAGAATTTAGACAGACATCAAGTCAAATGGTAAAATGCTGGTGATAAAGAAAATAAGATAATTGAACAGATATATCGTAACGCAGTAACACCACCCCACAAAAAAAAACTATGAGACAACAACCCACAAAATGTATAATATGGGAGGACTCACTTTCGTAAACATTCATCATAAAACCCATAAACCTGAGTAATCTGCAAGATACAAACAGACAATCAGATCTCAAAATATAAACCTGAACCGAAACAGAATCCCTAATAAAAGCATAATGAACAAATACTATGCAACTCACTGAGAAAAGGATCCATTTGATGCAAGATGTAAATAATAAAATCTTAACATAATCATATATACCTGACGACTCTCATGGTTTCCCCTCAAAATTGTAATCCGTTGAGGATACCGCACTTTGAGAGCTACCAAAAGCTGCAAACAAATTAACAATCAAATGACACCATCGTTCAGATGACATTGAGCCAATTGAAGTTAGCAACTACTAAAGCATTAAAGAGCTTTTCTTAATATATGCAATTGTGTGCATTTTATAATGCCATATTCCAAGACCCCATATAAACTACTCATCCAAGAGAATTGACAATCAAAACCGCATTACATATACCAGTTTCATTATAGTACAAAAACAAAAGCTTCGCACTTTTCAGATTATAGTGGAAGCACAGAATGTGTTTCCAAGTCTTAAGGGCCACCCCATAGAAATAACTCCCTCCCAAAAAAGGTAAATACGATAAATAGGGGAGAGTAGTCTCAGGAGTTTGCAGAAGGTGATAAGTAAGCATGACACATCTTGCAAATAAACAACTGAGTTATCACCGGTGCACAATGAAATCCTCCTACCTTATCCAAAAAAATAACATAACATAAATCCTTTTGGAGGTATAATACAAAAAAGAACCTCACCGTTACTGTTTCCACAGAATAGTATCCACGATCAACATAATCTCCCATAAATAGATAGTTAGTGTCAGGACACTGCAAGTAAAACAAAAAAAGGGCAAGTTAGGAAAAGAAATTTGACTACCGTCCCCATCATTAAAGTACAAGATTACAATTTTATCTAAAATAAGGAGAGAAATTACCAAAAATTCAACACAACAGCATGTAAAAAGCAGATTGTTTTTTGCTCTTTGAGGCTAGCACTATATAGCTCATTTGCCATAGGAGGATAGGTATAGGGCTTGTTAAGCACATGATAAACCATCTCATAAAACTTTTCCCTTGCATATGGTTTCATTTAGCCCGACTTATGTGAAGGAGCTACATCAAAGACCTATCCTCAGATGGAGAAAGATGTTGATAGAGAGTTCTTTCAAACCAAATGACCGACATGATTTCAAATGTTCACTGCTACCAAGAAAGGAAATGATTTGACTACCGCAACAAGCCTATAATTGAATAGTTAGATAACGACATATGCACCCGTGTTGGTCACTCTACAAATCTATCGAGAACAACTTCACCTTCCTCCCACAGGAGAGAGAAGTTTTTCCCAACCAAATGACTAACGTGTTTACATATGTCCATCGTTACCAAATGACTTAACATATTTCCAAATGTTCATTGCTACCAAGCAAGGAAAAAAAAATAAGAAGACAATTCTTCTAACCCAAGCATGAACTGGCTAATCCCATAAAGAGAAACAAGATCTAGAAAGAGGCAAATGTACCTTCCCACCAATACGAAAAAGCTCAGCAAGATCATGGAATTGGCCGTGAATATCACCACATATAGTCACAGGGCTTTTCACAGGCTGCAACAGGGAAAGTTGAAACAATTCAGTCCTACAATCATATATTCATGCACATTTAAATCTTTCTAAGAGATCTATATCATCTATTAAGCTGATAAGAAAACAATTTATTTTTTTTATGTTCCGTCAATGAATCAATACCATCCTGTATCAGATAGTTTCATGTTAACAACATCAGCTATTGTGTTATGTATATTAAGGTATGCAGAAGCCTTGGCTACATGCTTGTGGACTAAAGCTTCAGCAATCTAGAGGAGAGATAACAAAAGTTTATAGAATACTAGACCGCCTATATTTATAAAGAAACTATCTAACATCAAACCACCAGTTAATAACTTTCAGTTCAATAATGTCAAACAAAAAAAGCACATTTACAAAATAAAGAAAACACAAATATCCAAGAAAATAAGCATATGAATGCTCCAGCGGCATCGTGCAGAGACAGATCAAGACCACATTTCTTACAGTTTGAAACTTGAACATAGAGAGATTAACAAACATAGTCCAGTGAAGGAAGCCTAAAGTCAGGAACAAAAAGAAGAATTTTAAGTCCAGACCAAGGCTTACCTCTTTCCTCCCTTGCCAAGAAGGGGGATAAACAGCATAAATAAAAAGAGAAAAGACAGACATTAAATTATCTTACCTGCACGTTGCTTTCATCCATTAATATCTCCTTTGCTTTCTGACATAATCCTTTTACCTGGTAACATCAAAATAATATAAGAATAAAAAACCTGCAAGCTAATAAATGTAACACCTTCATGAAAATACAGCAAGAAACCTTAAAAGAAAGAAATACTGAGAAAGGAGCAGATGCAAAAAGCCATTGCGGAAAGTGGCTAAAGACGTATTGTCAAATGCTTTAGGCTCAAAAGCTTAACAAGTTGGATTTCAAAGAATGTCACTTGGGCTATCCCAAACGTAAGTTTGAAATATAAGTTTAGCAGAAGAGCCAAATATTGCTGCTAAAATCTATTCAGATTACTTTCTTTTGGCATGATTAACCGCTGAATACATGAATCATTAGGGTCTCGGATTGTCCCAAGAAAAGAGATTTAAGACAACTCAGAAGAGAAAACATAACCTAATCAAATGAACCATTGTATGTCAAAAACAAGTCGTAAATTTTAAGGTAAAAGAACAGGGAGATCAGACCAAGTTTTCCGTTTGATGTTGTGAACACAAAGAAAAACACGTATATGTACGCTCTTATTACTTATTAACAAAAATACACTGTCTCAAATAAAATTCACTGTTTAACACTATAGCTTGTGCCGGAAACCATTATCAGAAGACTAAAATTAATTAATCATTCACAAAGTTCAATTTTTTAAGCTCAAGTACAACGTTTTCATTTTGCTAGCCAGGGAGAAAAATGCTGCCTTGATACAATTAACTGTTTATAATCTACCATCTGTATGGAACATATTTAACAGAATTTCAAGTTTTACTTTACAAGCTAAGAAAATATCAAAATAGTACTTAAAATTTAGCAAATTGATCATTTTGGAAATGGAAATTACAACAAAGACGCATAAAACAAGAAATAGGACAAAACTTGAAAACAACTCATATCTATTCTGAAGAACAAAACAATCTGATTCAAAAAAAAAAATGGACATCAACCTCACATAGGCTGAGGAACACAAAAGGCAAACACCCAAGACTCAAAAAAAATGAAAAAAGACAACACAAATTCTCAGATCAGCTCACCATATCACAAAATGAATCAAGAATATCAACCCCAGATCAAAAAATCTTCCAATATACATCAGGAAACACAAAACCAACAAAATAAAAAACAGCAAAAAAAAAAATTCACCTCTTGTTCAGATAAGGGCTTGCACTGCATAAGCTGAGCAATCTGCTCATCAAGATTCCCTTGAGAAGAAGACACAACTGGATCCAAGCTCATTTTTTCTCTTCTGGGGTTGAATCTTTTCTTCACAAAAATCACAGAAATGCAAAAAAGATTGGATTTTTACCACAATTACAGCATTAGAATCTTAGATTCTTTGTTTACACATCTACACAAAGAGGAAAATGAAACATGGGGTTGGTTTGATTTGGTTTTCCTATTCTACGACATCGTTTTCTCAGCTCCACTGAGAGAGAGGGGAGAGAGAGTGAGTGGTGGTGATGGAAACAAAGAAATGGAAAAAAGAACTTTCTTTTTTTACATGATGATTTATGATATAACATATTAGATAACTTCATTTATTTAAAGCGAATTACCGATTTTATCTTTGAACTATCGAATAAGCTTAATAATATTATTATATTTGGCTAACTAAATTTAATATATTTTTGATTTATCATATGACATAACAAGTTGCATAAAACTCTTATAAGAGCATGTGACTCTTTATAAAAAATCGAGAGAAAAGTGTTGAAAACATTCTTAAACTCGACGAAAATTTAGAAATTACAACACTGACGTTGTATTTAAGTTCATTTTTGTTCTTAGCTTTACTAGTGTAATGATATGTTTCACTCATGAGAATTTAGGTGTCTATTTGATTGAAAGAAGCATTAAAAACACCCTAAACTCGACACATATCATTAATTTCGCATGGACTTATTGATTGCCTTAAAAACACCCTGTATATAACCAACACAAATTTAGATATACCTTGACCTGTCATATGACATAACAAGTTATCTTTAACTCTCAAACTCAAGTACACGACTCTAATAAAAAATCATAAAAGAAGCGTTGAGAACACTTTTAAATTTGATAAGAATTTAAAGGTGCATTTCACTCGTATTGCAATATCCACGATATACAAGTATTTTTAAAAGCGTCATTAGTTAAAAATAAAGCTAATTATTCGCATTAAAATTAAAGATATTTTTAATATATCATTATTTTTAATACGCAAAAGTTAATTCGAACGTCACAATTATTATAAAAAAAAAAAGAAGAGAGAATTATTAATGGCAGGATAGTATATAGTATAGTTGAAAGAAAAAGAAGAAAAATAGGCAAAAATTTAGGCTAGCCGCAATCAAGAACTGTGTATACATAACGTACGGAGAAGTCTCAATTCTCTCCACTGGTTCTTCTATTTCCCCTTTTTTTTTCTTTTTCATTTCAAACCCTTTACGGAGAAGCAATAAAGATTAGTTTTTTTTTGTATATATATAAAAAAAAAAGAAAAAAAATAATCAAACATCAAAGAAGATATTTTTTTTTTTGCATTTCTTCATCTGCTTCCGATCGGAAACACTTACCTTTTTTGCTTCTCAAACATAGAGGTTTGCAAGTCCATTTATTGTTTTTATCTCACATTATATGTATTTGCTTTAAGTATTGATATGGGGTAGTGTTAATTTGGGAATTTTTTTTGTTGTTTTTAACTGATTTTTAAAATGTGTATTTATTTGTTTTTCATGTTTTTATCTCAATTTTGTGAAGTGGGTGTTGTTGATTATGGTTGTGTTTTCTAGGTGTAGTTATCAATTTGTGAAATGGGGTTTCCCTTTTTTTTTCCTGTTTTGGTGTTTTTTTTTTTGCTGGTTGTTGAGATAGGAATTGTTGTATGTTGCCTGAAATGGGGATTGTTCTTAACATGCATATATGTGATGGGTGTTTTTGTTTTCAGTTTTTATGTGGGGGTGTGATCATTTTGGTTATGATTTGTTATTTCAAAGTTTTGATTTTTATGTTGCATTTCTTTGTTTTGCATTTGGGTTGGATTGCATATGCTTGATATGAGGTTGTTTATATAGAATATGTGTTTATTTATGTTGGTGATAAGTGGCTGACTGATTTTCCGGGTTGTGGAATTTGCAGGCTGATTTGAGACTTGGGGAATTTGAATTTGATTTGATGATGACGAAAGTTGCTGGGTTTTGATCTGAAATTTTTGTTTTGGGGAGGTTAAGTAGCTTGGATTTGTAAAATTAGCTGAAATTTTGGTTTTAGGGGTATCTTCTTTGTTTTTTTTTTTTTTTGTTTTTTTTTTTGGTAACTTGAGGGAAGGTAAAGAGTGTGTGATCTTTGGGTATTTTGACTATGTCAATGTCGTGGGCTGATTCTGTTTCTGCAGCCGAGAATCCGGCTGGAGCTCCGTCTAAGTCAGCATATGTTCCACCACATTTGCGAAACAGACCTTCAACTGATCCTCCTGCACAGGCTTCGTATGCTGGGGCTGCTGCATCATTAGGTAATGACCATAGTGGTTATGGTGTCCCAAATATGGTTGGGAGTCGTTGGAGTGGTCAAAGGAATGAATACCAATCTGGTTATGCTGGTGGAGGAGGACGTGGTGGTGGTTGGAATGGAAGAAGTGGTGGTTGGGATCGTGGGAGGGTTCGGGAAGTTAACCCCTTTACAAATGATGATAGTGAACCTGTTACTGAACAAGAAAGTTCTGCGATCAATTTTGATGCATATGAGGATATTCCAGTGGAAACAAGCGGGGATAATGTGCCCCCTCCTGTGAATACTTTTGCAGAGATTGATTTAGGTGAAGCTGTCAATGAAAATATAAGGAGGTGCAAGTATGTTAAGCCGACCCCTGTGCAACGGCATGCTATACCTATTTCACTCGCAGGGAGGGATTTGATGGCTTGTGCTCAGACTGGTTCTGGAAAAACTGCTGCTTTCTGCTTCCCAATCATAAGTGGGATCATGAGGGGCCAATTTCCTAGACCTCCTCGTCCACGTATGGCATTTCCTCTAGCTCTTATTCTCTCCCCGACTAGGGAGCTCTCATGCCAAGTAAGTTTTCCTGGTTATTGGTCTATATAGTTGAATAAGAGAAGAAGATATGAAGAAGGATTTTGTTTCTCTGTACATTGATATATGGGTTGCTTCACAAACGAGTTTTTATCTGAAGGATTGAAGGTTGTGTTGTGATCTGCAGATTCATGACGAGGCTAAAAAGTTTTCATATCAAACTGGCGTCAGGGTGGTTGTTGCCTATGGTGGTGCTCCTATAAACCAACAGGTTCCATATTTTCTCTTATTTGCTTGGTACTTCAGTCTTAATTTGTTATAATTTGCTGGCATCTATCCTTTTTTTTTTTTTTAATTTGGATTATTAGTTACTGGGTTTTCTTTCATATGCAATGTTAGCTTCTATCGTAATATTCTGTATGATAAATTAGAGTGATCAAGTATACTATGATATGTCATCTGTTTTAGGTTGCTACATGTATTTCTTAGTATATTAGAGCATTCCAGTTTACTGTTGGTGCTGCACTTTCTGGAGTGTATATTATGTTACATTCTCTAAAAAAAGTTAATTGTCCCGGGGGCAATTACTTCGAAGTACATTCTGTCCACTTCCATTACGTTTCGGCAACAGCACTAACTTTAGGTCAGTTAGATTGATTCTGAAATTCTGATATTTGTATTTCTAATGCCACCAGAGGGACTCATGTTCTGAGTAAGTTGTTGGCCAAGTTCAAACTGGAACTTGCCTGTGTTTTCTATAACCTTATTTCTTGTTGTTTTTTTTTGGATAGGGATCTTTTTTTTTTTTTGGATAAGGACGCTTTCTTGAGTGAGTAAATTCTTTTGAACAATGCTGACCTTGAATCAGAGACATAACGAGTCTAAAAAGAAACTTATACAAGTGTGAAATTGGCCTTCATTCTACTGAAATTTGACGTACGTGAAGAGGTTTCATACCAGTCGGATTGATATTGTTAATATAATGGTGGCTGTGATTGAAACTTTTTGGAGATAGTGAATATGTGTTATTTGGTTTTTGCTATGTTTGTGGGTGCATTTAAGAAACGTATTTAGTGTTAGTGAGAGAGAATGCGAGACAAATAGAGAGAATTATCTCTCAGTTTTGTTCTTTTTGAGTAATTTGTGAAATGGATTCTGATTCTATATCCTTGTTTCCTAATGGAACTATGAAGTATATTTCCACCTTCTCAATATATATATGTGTATAGTAGCTTTCTTTAATGTTACTGCCTTCTGGTACCAAAAAAATATAGAGTAGTAGCTTTACTTTTCAACCCCTTTGCAGGCACTAATTTGGGCTCGTAATATGAGAATCTGTGGGTGAGGCTTGAGAGAGATTGCTTCTCTGCATTTTTTAATGTGTACAAGTTTTATCTTCCTTACATCGTTGCGACATTGCTATCATGTCTGACACTTTGCCCTTACTGACAAAAAAAAAATTTCATCATGAAAGCTGTAATTTGTTTCTCACAGTCAATTTTATGTTGTGACACTGTGAACAGCTTCGTGAGTTAGAGAGAGGTGTGCATATTCTTGTAGCAACCCCTGGACGGTTGGTAGATTTACTTGAGAGAGCAAGAGTCTCGTTGCAGATGATAAGGTATTTGGCTCTAGACGAGGCTGACCGGATGCTTGACATGGGTTTTGAACCTCAAATAAGGAAAATAGTGCAACAGATGGACATGCCTCCGCCAGGTGTGCGACAGACCATGCTTTTCAGTGCCACTTTTCCAAAAGAGATTCAGGTTATTTTTCTTCATTGACAGGCTCTTTTTTGATCCATCAATTATTTCCCTTGATATCAATTTATTTAATAACTCCATTATCCTGTGGAATTTGTTGCTTCTGACTACAAACTGGTTTGGGTTCCTCCTCATGGATGAGCAACATTGTGGCGACCTTTCAATATCACTACAAATTCTCGTGCTGCTTGCTCTTCTAGAATAAGAAAGGATCTCTTATTTTCCTCTAATTTTTGGATGTATATTACTTGATTAAAGCATAGGAAAGAGCGCCTTGGTAGTGTTTGTTGCAAAATTAATACACTTAAAGTTTTAATCTGAACGCAGAGACTGGCCTCAGATTTTCTATCCAGTTATATCTTTTTGGCCGTCGGAAGGGTCGGCTCTAGCACAGATTTGATTGTCCAACGAGTTGAATATGTTCAAGAGACTGACAAGAGAAGTCACTTGATGGATCTTCTTCATGCGCAGAAGGAAAATGGTGTTCATGGCAAGGTAGCTCCTGTCTATTGTTTCAATTTAACTCAGTTATTCATGTTCTTGAGGTAGCGTAGCACATAACTATATTAAGTATGGTTGTGATGAAGAATAGACAAGTACAGGTACTAAAGATTGACCCCTGGAGGTAGAACAATTTAGGTATTAAAGGAAGAGGCACCAAGGCTTATAATTGTATAAATTGTCTATCTACTTCACTGCTGTGTGTCTGGTGTACCATGTGATATCCTG